TCCATTCTCGGTCATTGGAAACAGGTAGCCCCATGTTCCATCCTCATCATTCAAGTCAGGCTCGATATCTCGCGGAGGATAGACGAACTGGGATAGAGACTGAGTGTCTTGAGGAGGTGAGGACTGTGGAAGAAGTGGTGGCGACGCTGCAGGCGTGACATGACGGATCTGACTCGGTCGGCCTTCCGGAGGAGTAGCAGTGTGTTCCTTGAATGTTTCGGTGGCAGTAGACTCCTGGTACGTCAGAGGAGAAGGCAGATATTGGTTCTTGACAGGTGTGTGCTGGGGATCTTTTTGAGACTGCGAAGAGAGCCGTTGGGATCTCCGCGGTTTCTTGATCTCCTGGTCTTCACCGGTGCTATGCTGTTTGACAGTCAGATGCGACGGCGACAAAACACCACATTATATCCTCACCCGATTCCGCTTCAAACTGCTCTTCTCTTTCTTGGGACCCATAACACCCCCACACAAACTCCGCTGGAGATCAGCCCACCGTCAACGGTGAGAAGGAGATCCCGTTCGTAATGAGAGAGAGAGAAGTGGAGGCTTGTGGCTGGTGGAGAATGGTAGAGAGGTCTGAGAGCGGCTATATATTGGCAGACATTGAGAGGGAAAAAAAGTTGCAATTGACTGTAGATACAAAGTATCGGTACGGGTCACTGACAAACCATCGAGACGTTGCTTGAGGCTGAGTCGAGTTGCAATTGGGCTACTAGCTGAATCACGTGATATGAGGCTGGGGATTGGTACATTTTCTCCATGTTTGCCTGATCTGCCTGCGCCTCATCTTCATCCCTGACCCTTCGAACAATCCTACCCAACCAGCGTCGACATGCTGCACCTGCACTAACATCGACCGAGACATCAGCATATTGAGACTCCAGCACAGCAGCAAACCCATGCCAATGGACTCGTATTGAGTCATCAGCATTTGCCCTTACCGCACCACCACTTCAATATCATGAATCAGCATCGAAGTTTGTCTTTCAAAGACGCTCCGGCGTTGGGCTCCCCATCCTGCTTTGCCGGCGACCTGATACCCCTACTTTTGCACGTTGCATTCACGGGGACGTTGATACTCGAAGGATAGACTGCAGAAAGTCGCCGAAGCTGCAGGCCTCACCAAGTGTTCGCTCTGAGAGATGTCGTCACTTTAAACCCCTCAACATCCTCTGTTTGCTCGAGATAGCTGGTGCACCACCCAGATTCTGCTCTCCTGCGTTGTCTCTAGCTCCATATTCCCTCGAAACTGTCCCCAAAGGTCCCCATCGGTGCAAAGGAACCCTCGTCCCACCACTCGGCAGAGCATATTAGTGAATTTTCAAGGACTGCTTCCGCGGGCTTCGCTCCTGCCCGCAGTCTCTCAAGCTGTCGCTCCCCTTCCCTCAGCTCCTGTGGTTTTTGCTAGAGTGCTCGGAAGTCCAGCCTCGAAATACTCATCGCAGACAGCGACTGCCCGCGAAGCTCCTATAAATCTGTCTTGACTGAGACTTTCAGCGCCTGTTGCTAGTCGTCAACAGGTCACTGGCCTTGCCTTTCTGTTTCTCACCTTCACCATCATCTGTTTGTCCAAGCACCCGCTAACCTCACTTCGATGTCTCTGCAGCGCTAAGCATGGCCGGGCGACTATCGTCCCTACTTCTCCCTTGCCAGCCTGGCCTGCGCTATGGGTCGCAACAACACCCACTTCCTGGCGGACTTGTCCGGACTGTCTAGCAATGTGATTTCTCCTTGGAGAGAGTGATCGTCTTGTCCCAGACTAGCGCTGGGATGGAGTGTCTGTGCTTGGCTCCTGCTCAGACCTCAGACCGTGAAATGGTGCAGACGTCCGATTTGAGATTGATGGCAACAACAAAACATCAATCGAGTCACCAGTTTGGTATCTGCTCGCACGGAAGATCCGAAATCACATCCCCAAGAGACATGACTTTGAGTGGAGAGAGCCTAGAGAAGCAAAGAATCTGGATACGCCAGAGCGCACTGAGAAATGAAAAAGAGATTCGAGACATGCCGTGCATCGAGCTGATGGGTATAGCGGAGACTTGAAAATGGGCACAGTGGAATAGAATGTTGACCTCGTCTTGCCAAACTGGGTCCCAATTCCGTGCCTCTTCTCAACCCCTTCTGTGCCACTTTTCACGGCATCTGAGAAGCTGGGATCCAGTCTTGGTTTGGCTGCGGAGCCCACGTATTGGGATTCTTCGGCACACTGCGCTGTTATAGGACTTGGGGCACCTTGAATTGCAATAATAACTCACCATTGAGCTATTGTCAGTTCTTCAGCTGTCAGGCCCTCCATGTTGTTTCCTTCGATAAGACCATCGCCAACGTCAACGATTGGTTTGAACCAGAGCTGGAAACCTACACGAAGATTGCGAGCAGACTCGGATACTCGTCGATCTCACGGCCGACGACAACGATGCAGATTGCCTTTGGTTATCAAGATTTGATCCGCAGCTTCCTCGAACCACTTGCTGTCCTGATTTGCGTCTGCGCCTCCTCGTGGAAGACCGACCGTGTTTGCTCAAGGCAGTCAAAAAAAGCTGGTGGGACTGTACCATGTTTGATGAACTGAGACATAACTTCAAGCTGCAAGGATCTTCACGAGAATGCAGGTGGTTGGACTCTAGTTGTTACAGGTCAGGGGCAGGTGATTAGAGGGGCAGATGGCAGATTTGTTCACGAAAAAAACAGGGTCTTGACGTGAAATGTTGGAGCCGCTGGTATGATCTTCCAGTCTTGGTCGTATCTTGGTCGTTGAGTTCCATGTGGAACAGGTATGAAGTGAATTCTGATAATGATAACAATCAACATGGTCGCGTGCTCTCGGACCAACCATCGGTACTTGGACATGTGAGAGGCTGAATCTACAGTCTATTTCACCGCATGACTGAGTAAAGTTTTCCCAGCCGCGGCTGTTAAGTTGGTTGCTCAAACTATCGTCGCCAACCGTTCGTGCCGCGCAATGGATGCAGCGATCTTCGAGAGCAATCTAGACAAGCCAACTGGTGTGTTCGTCGCAAGAGTTTTGGACTGCTTGTTAGAAAAAAGGAATGGCTGAAGAAAAGTGAAGGGACTAGGCTTTAGATGGGCAGACGGCAGGAAGTGCGGCAAGATCGAGGCGATACAACTTTGCGCAAGAGCACAAGACAAGATCTCTGAGCCTGTGCTGAGCCAACCAGCCTCGCCGGACCATGACCATTTGCGACACCAGGAAGGAATAGATACCAGACCAGTCTCTGCACATTTTCCCTTCCCACAAAGTCACGAGACGTTGAAGACATGAGGACAAAGCCCCGAGGATGAATGTCCGGTGATTATGTCGTTGTCGCTCAGAAATTCTCCCTCTGTTACACAGCATATGTGTCTACGTTTTAGGTGGCGCTGCAGGTCCGCAAACAACGGAACGGCCCGCCAAGATCGAAAAGGCAGTTCTTCGTACCGGAGGGAATGGCGTGGTGGCTTGTGATGACCTGCGCCGATCTGTGTAGATCCCGCCTCCTCCAGGGCAAGCCGTGCCAAGCGAGAGTTCAGCTTGTGCCGCTTCGCTGGCCCTGGTAAAGCCTGGGTTCGGGTTGCCTTTGCACGCTTGGGTGGTGATTCCCGTGGCTGGAACCCTAACATGATTTGGACGGTCCCCTCCAAGGCTTTGTTTTGGGAAGCTCATCACGCGAGCAATTGACTCTGGACGACTCTAGCTCCGACCCAAGGCGTGACCGCCCAATAGTGGGATCGACTCTACCCGTGATCCTTTACCCTTCTAGGAGAGTCGACCCAGAGCGAGGCGTTCTCGGGACCAAAGAGAAAAAGGTTAACGATAGTGATCTGATCTGCTTCGTGTGGCAGGGATCCTTAGTCTTGACACCTCTCCATCTCCAAGGGCGCGCGACTGACTCCTGAAGATGAGTGCAGCCTTGCTGAGATGGCTGGGGAGTCTTGATGTCTCTTGCGCGTATGCCGCATTCAGCATCAAGTGTCTGTGTCTATGGTCATAGCGCACTTGTCTCCTCTGCATATGCGCGCGCATGACAGCATTGGTCCCTGATGAAACAAAAAGAAATACGAGGAGGAAAACAATTCCGCGCGATGGCGGCCACGAGTTTGACCCAAAGCCCCCAGTCTAGATAAGTCCCTGCGAAACCATTCGACAGGGTGACATGGAGACCGGCACAGGATGATTGGACCTGTTCCCACAAAGACTCAAATCAGCCCTGGGTGGGAAGTGGTGAGCCGCATCCAAACTCTATTTCGAAATCAAACCTGGGGTTCTCGGTATACAGGTGCCCCTCCCCCCAATAGCGGCCGTGGGCCCAGCCTTCTCGACTGGCCCCACAATTATATGAAATTGCCTTACCGGATCGAGCACTGCGATCACGTTTGATATTCCCTCACTGAGCCCGCGTTTGATTTGCGGTCGCGTGAGTTCCGCGTACGATCTTCCTTTTCAATGGTTCGACTTCTTTTGTTGTGGCCCTCCAACCCCTCGGCGACGGCTCGGCGAGTCACAGAGTGAGATGAGCTCTTGGACCTTTGCTCTCGGTTCCCCATCTGGGCCACACACTCGGGTCGCGATAGGCAATTTGAACTAGTGAGCCCTCTTGGAAATTGCGCCTTGTACGCTGCCGTCTCATGGCTGGCACAGACTACTTAACCACAGCCCAGCCTCCTTGTAAACCAAAAAAAAAAAGTATTCGACTTTGTGTGTGTGTGTGCACAACGACATTCCTTTATTGTTGGCTGGGGGTTTTTGCGGGAATACTTAATCACCCTTAAGAACAGTCGTTCGTTACACTCGTTAACATCGTTATTTTTTTTTTCCTTTCCCCCCAACAACGCAACGCTCTTTTGTCTTTGTTTCCCACTCCTCCCCTGCCTCCCTTCTGTCTAGACCCTCCGACAATCGGCTCAAAGGGTCCTTTGTTTACTCAATACTCTCGACATTTGACAGTAGCACATCAACAACAGAGAGAGAGAGAGAGACTTGACCGTGAACCAGAATCATGGTCCTCTTCAGCCTGAACGCTGGCCTCGCGGTCAGCCTTCTGGGCGCTTTGTCGTCGTACCCATCCGGGGCGATCTCAGCAGCTCTCCCTCAAGGGGAAAGCTCGCCGATCGAGTCCGACAGTGCCAACAACACCTGGTACCATCTGCAGTCCTTCGGAGTTAACCAAAAATACCACAAGAGCACGCCCAGCTTCGTTTCGTTCACCGGCAACGACGGCTATCTCACCGAGTCAAAGTCCGACGCCGCCCGGTTCTGGATATGGGGAGGACAACTCGGGGTGGACGACAAATTTGTGCATCTGGACTTCAGCAACGGGTATGCGGTGGTCAAGCTCGACGAGCGTCCCAGCGAGGAGGACTACGGCTTCTTCCACGGTGAGGACGGCTGGCTCCACGTCCAGGGTGGAGGCATCTCTTACGGCGAGGGCAGCCAAGCGGTCTTTTGCCAGAGTGACGATGGATCAATCTTCCTGCAGGGCCATGGAAAGCCCCCCTTTGCTTGTCAAGACATTGGTTTGGCACCAAGGCAGCGTGAGTACCTTCCATAACCATTCGACCTATCCCTCTTCCTCGAAACCGGAAATGTTCCTAACCTCCAGATATAGGAGCTGGTCCCGCACCCAGATCACTACCACCGCGTCCAGGCAAATCCGGTGCTCAACGTTCGCCTTCTCCGATCCCAACAGCAACCTCGACCGTTGTGCCTCGAAGTGTACCTGAATGGTGGAAACGTCAAGTAGGTGGTGGCCGCGGAGGTGGCGGCGGTGGTCGCGGCGGCGGTGGTGGTGGCCGTGGCGGTGGCGGTGGTGGTCGTGGTGGCGGTGGTGGTGGCCGAGGAGGTGGTGGTGGCGGCCGTGGAGGCGGCGGTGGTGGCCGTGGTGGTGGTGGATTTGGTGGTGGTGGCTTTGGCGGTGGCCGTGGCCGACCAGGTACAGGTGTCGGACCTGTCCAACCTAACCCATCCAGCGACAACGACGCCGTGGTGGTGGTGAAGCGATCCTTCGAATTCGACGGCGACGGCGAAATTGTGGAATAGAGGGGGGGAACCCACCCTTCTCTGGTGGCGCGACATTTTCATTCCACGACCATGATGATCATTCTTACCTTTTTTCACCAACTTTCGACCAACCCGAGGGAACTGTGGAGGACGATTTCCCCGCCTTGGACAATCAGCACCATTCATCCTCTGTCCCAACCGGAAGAGGTCTGTTTCACGGCGCCTTTCCATCTATTGACCATTTCTGGCAGAAAGCTCCTTAGAGCGATTGACATATGTACTTAGTGATATTTTAATGATAAACAGCTTACTAGATACCCCACATCTCAAATGACAAAACTCTTGTCTGGGTGGATTGTTGTTGCACACAACTGACTCCTGTCTCTTGTCATTGGTTCAGGCTCAGGGGCAAACGAGCGTGGCAGAAGCTTTGGAGCTCAGGGTCTGATTTTACCGCATCAAAACATTGGCTTGGTGTTTGGGTCATTGCCGTTCCATCTATTCCTAGGCCTACCGACTGTCGAGTTTCTCTCGATTTCAGTGTTTGAGGTGAGTGCTGGTATTGCCAGAAAACCGACCAGTCCCAACCGTCAGGTAGGACGACTGCGCACTTGGAGGTACGGCCAACCTGACTGACAATGCGCATAGCATGGCTGGGTCTAGGCCGAAGACCTCATGGCGGAGGTTGGTTGAGCAACTAGTGAGTTGAGTTGAGCTGTGTTGTTCGACGCGCATTATTTTTCAATAGAGGATTGACCTTATTTTAGAGTTAAGGTTTAGTGCATCGACCATTCGCCATAGTCGTCATTTGCCAAGTCCTGGTGTGGCGCTAAGCCACAGGCACGTGACAGACGATGAACCACCAACCCCATCAGCCACACTATCTCCTCCTTACTCCTTTTCCCCATCCACTTCCCCCATGTCCCCCACTTGTGGGTATGATCTGCACCACCGATTCCAGACTCAGGGTCGAGCCCACTCTACCTCATACCTACTCAAGCACGCAATCACGGATCTGGGCTACCGATCTCTTCTGGGGCCAAACAGCACACATTTGACGAGTGCCAAGCCGAAGTTCAATGGATACAATAGAAATTGTTTGGTTGCCACTTTCTGTCCATCATGTTTTGATTATTTGTTTACTCATTGATTATTCTGCAACCCGTGGTGTCTTCACGTCGGTGAGGATCATCCATACCCCTGCGATTCACACGAGTTTGTTTATGATTGCGATCTCGTCGCGTCGTGGTCTCCAGTGTTGTTTTCTTTCTTTCTCTCTCAGGACACTGCATTGTGGACCTATATATCTATATGTACGTAAATCGCCAGGCAGGTGCCGAGTCATCTCCATCGTGCTGCTCAACTCCCTGACCCAAATCACTTTCCGCGTACCTTGGCCTCATCTCTTGGGGCATTCGCTTTGAAAGGGTGGACCTTGCAGCTTCCGGAGATCGAGGATGCGTTCGTTGTTTACACCATACCAAAGGAGAAGGAGGAGGATCAGGTCGGGAAAATACCAAAGATAACGTCTGCTTGGCCCACTATTTCGGGTGCTCGTGTTCAAAACGTGCATGGACCTGATTGCTGGGAACGCAATCCTCCTCGATGACCCTCCTAGCAACCACGTCCAAAAGCCTTGCAGTCTGCACGCAGGCTCTCAAGGCTGCCCCGTTGTCTATTCCCAGCCGAGGCAGGCACTACTGGGCAATTATCATGAAGCGTCTGGTCTATGATGCGCTCCAGCACGTCGTTGTAGCTATTCGCCTGCCCAAAAACTCCGGACTAGCAGAATCTGACCACCCCTCACAGCTCAGGAGCAGGCACAAGAGACAAGGCACTTCAGTATCGGATACGTGGGCCGCAGATTCGGCCTGGACAGAATATGAAGTGGAAAGAACAAAGACTTTGGTGCAACGGAATCTTTTGCCTCCTTCAACAGCGTAGATATGTGAAGGTTGATGGAGTTGAAAATATAAACGTGGGCGATAACTCCAATCTCCCAAAATCTATGAGAAAGAATACAGCTGATCAAAAGGGCAGGATGGTTGGTGCTCCTGTGTATTCCTGTCCTCCCTCCAGCTGCCCTTGGATGGGGACGGAGCAAGGTAACTTGTGCCCCCTAGTTTCTCCGCGCTCCCAGCAAGGCTTGTACCGTAGTTAGTGACATTCCAAGCATTTAGACAGTCACATTTCACGTCCTTCCAGGTCGTCGTCACAGGTGAGCCGGAAGATTCGATTAGTATGTCGTGGGAGGGTGCTTTACGGGTATCAGATAGTATTCGATACTCGCGGAGTTTGTTTAGTTGTGGCCGTCACAGGCCTGTAAACATCGGGACTCTTATCAGCCTGAATCTCTGGTGAAGTAGGGCCACTTCACTTCATCCACCGAGGTCCGTTCCCTCCGCCGTGATAACGTAAGGCCTCATTCCACGCCGAAGGTCGGATGAGGGATGTATCAGCTTAATGGTTTCTCGGAACAATTAATTCTGTGTGATCGTGTGCTTTATATCGTGATCGAATCATCTCGCAACGGGAGAGCTCCAAAGTTGACATTCTTGAGGTATCCCTGAGGCGGGCTTCGAACGGCCAGGTCAAAGGTGACTTCCTGGACGGGCACGTCGGCCCACTGGGACAACACCGAGGTCGCGCCGTCCGCCAACCTGGGGATGTTCATCATGGTGCTGAAGGGAATGTCGAAGGTGTATTCCTCGTGCCAGCCGGTCTTTTCGTTGTTGTTGATGTCCGAATCCCGCGACTTGTATCCGGCGGAGCGATGAGTCGCTATCAGCGGTGGCCACACCCCGTAACAGTCAAAGCCCTTGGCCATCTTGCCGCGGCACATGTCCGACACGCTCTGGTCGACGGGCTGGTTGCGCGGTTGTGCCGACAGCGACGACAGCATCTTGCGGGCCCCTTCGTAGGTCACGGCATACCCGTACAGACACATGCCCGCATACGCCTTGAAGAACAGCCGTGTGTCGTTCCTTAGTGCGTCCTCGGGGATGTGGGACTGCCGCCATCGAGAGTTGCGGTGTGGCAGCGGCGGGACCGTGAAGTCGTCATCGACGACCCAGATGTTTTGGTCGTCGTCGGTCGGCCCGATCCTGTTGTGGCCCAGCCAGAGAAAGTGCCAATCATGGCCGTACGGTGACGGCGTCAAGTCGGGAGACTGCTGCAATGCACGTGCGCCGGTGGCGAGCTCGAATAGTTGGTCCTTGATGAACGGGGACCAGTCAGCATCGTCTTCGATGATCATGGCCGTCTGGATCCGCTCGGCGACGATCTTCTGGAGCGCATTCATGTGAGCCCTCCAGCATCCGAGAGCCCCGGGCGTCTGGCTGTCAAAGTCCCAATTCTGAGATCCCAATAATGTCAGCTTCCTGCGGGGCATAAAGGCTAAGTGGTTACATACCGACGGCGCAGCTTTCTCGACGACGTCTTCTGCCTCGACACCAGGAAGATAGTCAACCTCGAAGCCGGCGAACGAGGCTGCAAGAGTATTCAGGTCCCTCTTGTCGGTCCGCTGCGGGAGATTGATGGCGAAGACTCTCTGAAATCCAAGGGTGGTGTTGTAGACGTGGTCAATGGGATTTCCTCCACGTGCGTACCGGGTGACCACGATGAACGACCCGGACATCTGTAGCAACAAGATCAATAGCACTGCACATAAAAGTGCCCGAAAGAGATTCTTGCGCCTGCCTGTGCTCGAGATCAGTGCCAGCAACGATGCCATCTCGGGCACCTGTAACGGTGAGCGCTCCCAAAGGGGAAGCTCGCCAGTGGACGCGGTTTTCTCAGCCATCGACAAAAAGGTGAGACGGGGAGGAGAGGGGGGAAACACTGCACAGCAATGCAACTAAGGGCACAGTGGACAAAAGATGATATTCCCGGAAAAATTCTGGATGAGCAACAAATGGGCATCATGTCGAGCAAAAGCCCCTAGAACAAGTGTCCTGAATACGCGTGCAACAATGGCCTCCTTACTATCGACTCGCTCACTGATAGTCTTCGTCGGCGCATGGGGGGAGCAGTGCTGATAAGTAACCTGCCAACGAATAGGAGACGGTCTCAGACCTTGTTTTCTCAGGGTCTGTCGTCCATCGGTGTGTCACAAGACAGGTTTGAGTTTCAAATCTCTATTTGCGGTGATCTACCCCTCATGGGAGATCGCCAAGTTTTTCTTCAGGAAACGTGCCAGGGGGTATGTGGATGAACAAAGATCTCTTCGGAGATTAGGCATGAATTGTCATGTGGAGGGGTTTTTTTAGGCGAGAAGTCACCGAACCTTTGGCCGAGATGGATTGGTATTGGACTCAAAAGCTACGAGAGCTGCAGGGGAAAAGGAGGCCCCATGTTCGATTTGGGGGAAAGCGACTGGCGATCAGCTTAGGGAGAATAACTCTAACTCTACCCGTCCGTTAGCCAGACGCGCCAGAGACGCTAGCGCTGTATATACGCTTTTCAACATCGGCTTCTGCCTCCGCCCGCCGCCCAGACACTAACCCCTTTAGGCTAAATCTGGAGAAAGCTTACTTCTCGCTGGAATTCAAGGTCATTACAACACAACTGCTCGGTGTATGCTTCAAGAGGCTCCTGTCAAGAGAGAAATCGATAATCAAGCATTCGCATACCTCGACACCCCCTGTGCCTCGTTGCTTCTCTTTTGTCACGACTGCCACAATAAATACTCGTAAACTGCCTCCAATTACTGTGCCAAGAGCCACACCCCCCTTTTGGTCTCTGGACGAGTCAGTCGATGTCATCCGATTCATTGTGGATACCCCGATGTCATGCCCCCTCCCAGTATCTTTTGCATTTGGCTGGCTGGACGTAGCCTCTTCTTGTTCTCGCTAATTTAGGCCGACTGCCTAGCAGAGGAACGCTCGCCTTACCATGGCTAAGTTGTGCCACCTGAAGTTTGGGTGCGTTTCGCGTCTAGACCGACGGTCCCTTGAATTCATGGGAAAAAGAAAAAAAAAAAAGGGAACATGATGCCAAAAACCCTCGCTTCAAAGAGCTTGGCGACTTGATTGTTGTTTGATTTCTTCCCCTCTCCCCACGCACGATGAGGAGGCCCGGATTCTTTGTCCATCCTTTTTAGATATTCGAAGCGTTGGAAGCACTATTTTGCGGTCTCCAAACGGGTGTTGTTTTTTTTTCGTGTTTGTAGGCCTTCATGGCGAAGAGGATCCGTTCTGTCTTGGTGGTTCTGGTGGTAATCGCTGTGTTGCAGCTGCTTCTATCACATCTGGGCCCGACCGCGCCTCAGACCCAATGGAGAGACCTGTCCTCCTTTCAACTCCAGCCACATCCCAGACGGATCACCGAACAAGCCTCAGCAGGTCAAGACCTCAGAGAGCTCGAGGAATTAACCGCCAAACAAGACGAGGTTGCGGGATTGGTCACTCAACAAAATGGGCTCAATACTCCCACATTCGCGGCAGAGGATAAAGACGATGACGAGGAGGAGGAAGACGAGACTGAGGTCCAGGTCGAAGTCGAAGACGACAATGATGACAGCAACTCCAACACCTACAACAAGCCGCACTCCGAAGTCAAAATTGCCAAAGTCACCATGCTGTACGGTGAGCCGAACGACGCATACGAAAGGGCTCTAGAATCCCACGCCCTCCATGCCAACATGCACGGTTATCAATTGCACGTGCTGCGTCAGAAGATGCTGGGACGTCTCTGGACCAAGCCCGCCTTCATCTTGAGCGTGGTGCTGAACGAGCTGGCGAAACCCCCCGAGGCCAGGATCGAATGGATATTCTGGTTCGACGCCGACACGTTTCTCCTCAATCCCAAAATCCCCTTGGAAATCTATCTGCCGCCGGCAGATGTGCGCGGGGTCAACTTCCTCTGCGGCAACGACCACAATGGGCTCAACGACGGCGCCTTCCTCCTCAGAGTCAACGACTACTCGGTCCACTTGCTGGCGTCGTCGCTCAGCGTCGAGACCTTCCGGCCGAATGTGGACCTGCGCTACTCGGAGCAATCGGCCATTGAGCATGTTGTGCACGAGGGCGGAGTCTATCGCCCCTGGGACGGCACGACATATCTCGACGGCTACGCCGAGATCCCCCAACGATGGCTGAATGCGTACATGGGTGCCCGAAACGACCGCGGACGGCCAATCGCACGAAGGAAGCAGCACCTCAACGGCGTGAAGCCTGGTGGTAAGCGGAACCCCCCTTGTTTTGTTACCAATATTATTATTATTATTATTAATTTTTTTTTTCGTTTGGCGTGACTCCCTCGCACCTGGCATCCCCACTGCTGACACAAAATTTACAGATCTGTTGCTCCATTTCGCGGGGTCGGGGAGCACAAAGGTGGACAGGATCAAATCTTTCGTGGAAGCGTACGAGCAAAACCCGTCCGAATGGGTCAAGGAGGTCGACCAGATGCCCGAGCTGCTGGCTGAGATATCAAAGTTTTGGGATAATTACAGGAAACAAAAGAGCCAGCAAAATGGGAATTTCGAGGTGGAAAACCTCACGTGGAATTGAGAAAAGAGGGAGAAAGGGTGGTGGTGGTGGTGGTGGTTGAGATCAGTCCACACACACACCCTCTGGCTGTTGAAACGGTGCTTCAATTCCTTCCTTTACCTTTCAGCGCAACACGGCGGGAAATCTCTCGCCAGTCGTGGGGAATTTATTCAGAGCAAACGATGGTAGACAAGGATAGACTGATCTGTCATGCAGTTTATGACACTGGCTCTGCGGCGTTTGGGACTTTTGGCCCCCCTCCCCCTTTCTGTGGGGCAAATGGTTCACGATCACTTATGGGTACTTACTCGGCATTGATACAGCCTCTCAATACAATCTCTAATGTGTCCCCGCGGCGAAGCTCAAAGGTTCGACGTCTAAAGCCCATGTGGTGCTAACAATCACTTTGTGCCTTTGTCTATCTTTGTTGAACTATCTGCCTCTCGGGACTTTCAACAAAGACTAGATAATGTAACACACTAACCTGAAACATGCTCGTGCAAGTGTCTCTTCTCACACGAGGGTTTCCAGTGCTGGAGCCACAGTTCTCAAGACCTTCGCAGGGATTCCCCAGAAGGAGCAAAGGAGGACACGAATAAATCGAAGCCAAATACTGCACAACGCCTGTGGATTATGCCGAATTATCTTCACGTGTCATTAGCGTTTCATGCTTTGAAGCCTTTAATGTCATCCCATCCCCACGTGTCACTGATGTCCATAAAACGCCAATACATTCCAGAGAAACACAAATATATACATGCATCTCTCGCCAAAGTCGTGGACACGGAATTACTCTGCAAATAAATGACAAGGGACATAAAGAAAAAAGAGATATCACCGACGCTGTAACCACGAATACGCGCCCGCTCCGCCTAGGGCAAGCATGACGCCCAGAACGTCCTTGATTGACGGAGCCTGCCCGGCCACGTACCAGCCGAGGGCGATGATGATGACATTCTTGGCGTTGGAGACGACGTTGAAGGCGAGGGCCGAGAGGCGTCCGATGATCAGGAACTGGCTCAGGTTGAGCCCCGCGGCGAGGATGCCCGAGAAGAGGAACGTGGCCAGGATCTTGGGGTCGACGGTCCAAAAGTCCGGGATCGTGTCGGTGAAGGGGAGCAGCACCAGCAGCATCACCACCGAGACGGGCGCCTGGTTCAGCAGCAGCGCCGGGGCGCTGATGTCGAGCTCGTGGACCTTTTTGCCGATCCAGATTTGGTAGAATGCGGTGGTGACGAAGGCCGCAATGGCCACCAGGCTGCCCGTCGGGTTGGACGACACCATCGCGACGTTGGTCAAGGCCACGCCCAGGCACGAAACCATGATGGCCACCAGCAGGGGAGTAGGGAGGCGGGTTCCGAACAGCACAAAGTTGATTGCCACCACGGTCGGCGTGGTCATGATCTTGGCCAGCTGGTAAAAGGAGACGGTGTTGAGGGCCAGAGACAGGTTACCCAGGACCAGGAACCCGACGAACAGGGTCGACAGCGGCAGGACATCTCGCACGGCGAGCCGCACGGGCTTGAAGAAGCTGAAGGGTTTCAAGGTCGCCACATACAACAACACACTGGTCGCCGTGAAGTGCCAGGCCGCGGTGCCAATCTGGAATTTTCGAAATTGAGGATCGCTAAAGACACTGATGGGTATGGAAGAGACCAGGGGTCAGCAAAAATCCCTTTTCCCCTCCCGTCGGGATGACAACAGCATCGAATTTAAGGCTCTTGATATGCCTGCCACAAACCTTACATCTTGTTCGCGAAGACGATGGCCACAGCCGACACCGTGTTGAGTAAGACGCAGAGGACATTGATGGCGTCCTTCTCGCTCAGGCCGATGTTGAAACGTCGCTTTGCATCATTGCCCGTGAGGATCCATCGAGGAATCATGGCCTTGTTGTGCGATCCTTCGGACACGAGTCGCTTTTCCACGTCGTGTTGATCCATCTCCGACTCTGTTTGGGGTGGGAAGATGGCCCATTAGCTTCAGGTCCTTGAGCGACATGTTGATCTGGCATCAGCCATATACTTACCCGTGTCGAAGGACTCCCGGGAGTGGCGCTGCACGCTTAACGAGACGAGTTCGGTCATTGTGTGTTCGTGTATGTGTGTGTGTGTGTGTGTGTAGATTTCAAGGACAATTAGCTAGTTATCTCGTACTCATTCTCAAAGAACCAGCCCGCCAAAATCCAACAAAACACTCTTTCGAATAAAGTGGCGAACAGCCAGAGCCCAGATATATGAGGTTGTGCCAGTCTCAATCTCGGCCAGGACAACTTTCGGCCGTGCGTGTTCATTTGACCTTGTCCTCGGTCGGTACATGATGCATAAGGGGGGGGGTTTGAATTCACAACAAGCACTAAGCAAAGGAGAGTAGTGCCCTTCGACCTGGATACTTTTTGTTTGTCGTCGTACTGCAATCAAACACCGCTCCAGCAAGGAATGGCTTAGATAGATTTAGCACCAGTGACTGGCAGAGACTTGGGAATGAATCGAGGCGTGTCTCCTGAAAGGCTGAAAGACAAGAGCCAACCTTACAAAAGAACCAACACTCGCCCCAAAAAAGCATATATACTGGCCAAGAGCCAATGGCAAAGGGGGGACATGAGACTTGGGCATGTTGTTATCTTTTTCACGCGAACAACAATCCCCCTCTTTCTGGAGAAATCGCGTGATTTGACGCGTTCATGGGACGAACATCGTCATGATCTCTGCTTGCATCTATTTCCCAAAGGGGAAATCCGAGACACAAACGAAAGTGGAGAGAAGCCGGAGAAAAAGAAAATGTGGAAACTTCGGAAGCCAAAGCACAAGAGACTTCGCTCGTCCCTGCGTAAGCGCGTCGATCAAACCCTCGGAAGCGAAGTTCTCCTCAATCAAGTCTTGTCGATCCTGCACCCAAGAGTGGCCCGGGTGGCGCTACAATTAATCCAACCCGGGGGGGGGGGGGAGGCAAGGCTGCCTTGGGTCCTTTTTGGTTCCCGTTTGCCTCGTTCTGTGCCACGTTAAACTCGATCCAGAAGACTTCGGCTTTTTCTTCCTCTTCCTAGGAGCAAAAAGTGCAGGAATGACGATAAGAAGAAACGCCATCAATCATTCAGGCATACAGTCTCAAGCGATATGTACCAACTTTACCTTTCTTCCCCCCTTATTCCCCTTCTCTCTGCCTCCCGCCTCCCCCACCCCTCCCAAGCAAAGCCGTGTCATTGGATTTCATGCTCGCTTAATTTGGATTCCTCGGGAGCTACTTCTTGCCGGGATGTTTCTTCTGGTTGCTCGGCATTCTTATGTATACTGGGTGATCTCTCTCCACGAGCTGTGTCGTGTGCTCATCGAACTCCGCATATCCAGGACCGCCATCCTCCATCCAGTGAAGAACACAATAGCATACAACGACAACCAATATCTATCGAGACTTGTGCGCCGGCTTGCAGTCTCCTGGCAACCCGTGGCTGAATGCCTCTATCACGTTGGAAGAAGTAGGGTGGTCTGGTTCTGCTGCTTTTGTTTTGAATTTGATTGAAACCCCCAGGGGGTTGGGTTATGGTTGACGTCGTGGGATTGAGGCTTTATCCAGTCGGCATAACCTGGAGTTGTTGGCAAAGGTCAATAACACAATGTACACCAACACCATGTACTACTCTCAAATCACCGACCACAGGACGCCGCTTTGGGTCAAAATCAAAAGACCGTTATGGCGAAGGAAGGGACCTCGATCCAGCATCTTGTTCTTGTTCGTTGTCCTCATTGGGACCACGGTTTATCTGGCCATGTCCCGGGATACCACAGACTACCGCCACAGCAATCGATACAAGGTCAAACTCCAGAGCTGGTTAGGTGGATCGAATCCGCCCAAGCAAGCGGAGCCCTCGGCCATTCCTGACAACAATACCTTCGATGTCAACAGCTCACTCGCCTCCAACCTGAACCAGACCCTCAATGAAGAGGGCAACGAAGCCTCCAAACCCCCCAAGAGTGAGGATCTGGTTGAAGCAATCAAGGACTCATTTGCGATTGCTGCCGACGAAGAGGACGAGAAAGCCTCTCGACCTCCAAAAAGCGAGAAGCCGGCGGAAAAAGTCGAGGATCCGTTTGAAAATGCTGCCGACGAAGAGGACGACAAGGCCTCTCAACCCCCCAAGAGCGAGAAACCGGCTGGAAAAGGCAAGGATCCGTTTGAACCTGCTGCCGACGAAGAGGACGACAAACCCTCTCAACCTCCCAAGGGCGAGGAACCGCCTGAAGACGTCAAGGGTCCATTTGCAATTGCTGACCCGGAACCGCCACTTGCCAACGTGGAAATCGACAAGAAACCGACCCCTGCATCCGACGACGCTCGAGTCGAGGACGAATCGAACGAGTCGAAACAGCACTTGTCGCTGGAGAAGAAGGCCGAATTCCTTCCAGAGTTCATCTGGGTCCCGTTCGAGGAGACGGTCAAGGACGAGGTCCTCCAGGGTTGGGAAGACGAATGGGTGAGTTCAGGGACGTACGACTGGGAGAAATGGGGAGATCTGGAAGAACCCAAGATCGATTTTGTCTATCTGTGTATGATTGCATCGCATGGCGACTCCTCCGAAGAAAAATGGTTCACGTTTTGCTAACGAAATGTCCTAGGGGTCAATGGTTCCGAGCAGGATTTTCAGGATACCATCAGGCCGTGGGAGGAGCGGTCGATTCTGAATGATGCCGAAGGAGAATGGATCAAGTCCCACGGCATGAATAGATACCGCGACTGGGACGAACTGCGCTATTCTTTTCGCAGCATCGAGAAGAATGCTGGCCATTTCATGAACACCATCAAAGTCCTTGTCAACTCGATTTACAGGAATGGGGCTCCTGTCAGGAAACAGACGCCCACGTGGCTTGCTGTCGATGACCCCAAGGTCTCCAAGCTGGTTCAGGTTATTTCTCAAGAGGAGATGTTCGAGGACGACAAGAAAGTCTGCTTACCGGCGTTCAACTCCCTGACAATCGAAAATCAGATATTCAACACAGAGTCGGACGTCGACCAGGTGCGTGAGAAGTAGAGCACGGCTTATAACTTACCGACACTGACACTATGCCCTCAGTTCTATGCCATGTCCGACGACATGTTGCTTACACGGGAGCACGCCCCCGCCGACATTTACTCGCCACTGTTTGGAGCGGTGTTGAGCTTCAAGACCAATGGGTACAGCACTACCTCTGCCCCGACCGAAGCCGACGCACAACGTTTCGGTGAAAAGGTGTGTTTCCGACTTGTGACTCCCTACCTCCCAGGGGTAATCTGACGTTGAATTTTCCAGCCATATTTGATCTATACCTCGTGGCTTTTGAATCGTCGGTTCGGCGTCCGAAAACGCAAGGGCCAGAGTCACTTCGGACATTCCCTGTCACGAAGCATTATGCGCGAGGCGATCGAGGCATTTCCACGCTCCGAGATCCAGAGTGCCTGTAAGCGGTTTCGAGGCGAGCCCGGATTTCAGCTTTACTCCTGGTATGTGAGCAACCACTATGTAATCGAACGTCACCGTGAACTCCTCTTGTGGAGCTACATCATGCTGCGGAGTGACGTCGACCGAGATGGTATCTTGTCCTGGGAGGAACGCACGAGGATCGTTGCCGATTTGGCTGAAGGGGCAAAGAATGCCGACAAGGCGACGTTCCGCCGCAAGCTCTTCTACCATGTCCCATCCATGCTTGAAGAGGCTGGCCTCCGCGCGCCCCAAGTCAACACCAATTCCTTGTGGACGTCTCTCGACGGACCTCATGCCATTCGGAATGTCGACTGCACGGACTTCTCGATAGACGACTGCCTAGCACCAGGCTTTCTCTCCGACAATTCGCCCCCGTCCAGCACGAACCCGACATTCAGCTCGTCCGTCATCTTTGACCGGCTGGCTCGCCAAAACCCGCATTGCGGTGACTGTCTGTTAAAGGGACTTCTTCAGCAGACACCGTCGGGTTTGGAGCCACTGTTGCCGAACGCCGAGACTCAAGCTGCCGACCGCGAGATAGTGATCAAAGGCGCCATGCGCTACAAGTTCACCGAGGTTGATCCATCGGACACGCTCTTTGTCATGGTGACCGACGCCGACCAGATCGACAGCACCTTATACCGGCATTATGTCAAAGGAGGCAAGCAGCTCCCGGGTCAGATGTGCCTTAATGACGATGTTATCACGACCGATGAGCAGGAGCTCCAGGATATTCAGAAAGCAATGAGGGAGACGCTCGCGGGGCTTTTTCCTCGTAAGGGCAGAGCCGAATTGTAAAAGCAGGGGGTTTTGGGCGTCAGGGTTAGGTGCTATGAGGCGTTGAGGTGCTCTGTGTCAACATTTCAGTTGAATGTCCCCAAAAACCGTGTTCGAATGTGAGAGATACCATTGTGTTGCTGTTGAGCGAACGACACCATGTTTCGCGTTTCATAGAACTCTGGAGCGCCGGCTACCCAAATTGGAGGTGCAAACGGCTAATAAAACCTTTGGCAAACTATTACAAGTCGAAGATAAACCTGATTCGCGTGGAATGGTAGGGATGCTGAAGTGATGGTTCTTCGTGCATGCGTTTGGTGTCCATTGTCGGGCTACTTTCCCCTTTGTGATGCTGGCATCCCGCATCATCATCATATTTCCTCTTCTGAACTTTTAGACTTGCCCCCAATGCCGCAGTCTCCAAGGAGACCAAGGTGGATTTGTCCTCCTCCTCCACGTCTGCGCGACAAGCGCCTCAAGTCTCGGGCCAGATGGACCTGTATGCCTCCCACTCTCTTTTTCTCAATGTTATGTGTCTGTGCTAACGTGGTTTCAGCGGTCATGGAGGCCTGCGTCGCCAGGCCTTCTCCAAGCTTGCGGCCCTCTCCTCAGTCCGATCCTCGACCCGTGAGGCGGAATTCAAGCGTCTAACATCGGCAGCGCCGTCCATCAGGCCCCAGACGAACGGTGGTGTTCTCGATGGCGTCCTTCGGGCAATTGCACCCATTTCACGGGTGCCTATGTCGCCCCGCGAACTCGATGTCTTGCTCGCCTTGTGCGCAAGTGCTCACGACCTGCACGAGCTGTCTCATGCCGATCGCCTGGTCAAGCAGTTGACAGCTTACCTGCCCGAGTCACATTCCCAAGTCTTCTCATCCTCGCCCTTTGTCCAGGAAATCAGACCCACGCCGTGGACTGCCCTCACGTTCCAACTTACAAAGGCGCTACTCGTCCTCGGACTCAGATTCCCCCCTTTGAAAAACGCGGTCGCGTACAGCATCAAGTTGTATACACAGAATTGGTCCCAGTCTGCTTCGGCACTGGCAGCTGTTGGGGTTGGCGAGCAAGATTCAGACGACGACGACGAAACCCAGGAAATTGCGGCGATAACGGTGTCGTTAATCGGGTTTCTGGATGCGGCGGCTGCTCATGGCAACTTCTGGTCCCCTTATGAGACAGTCGAACTTATTCGCTGCTTGAAAGAAGCTTTGTCAGAGCGTTTCCTGATAGCCGTCGAGACTGCCTCGTCAGCTATCCGGAATTCCACATCCACTGATCCTGCGGATCGTGACTGGAGAAAATACTTGAAACGATTCGCAGCACAGGGACTTCCAGTCGGAGCCATGGTGTTGCAAAAGGGCTTCATGAAACTGGTACTTGCGTGTACGGCCAGAATGTTATGCGATGAACACACGGTAGAGTGCGGAGACATACTCGATCAATACATCGCTGGCAACCACCTAAACCGAGCCAAAGATGACACTATTACGGATGACATGGTCGCCTATCTGGTGGACATTGTCAGTGAGCAAATGCGTGTGCTAGAGGATGGCTCGGATTATTTACAGCTCAGCTCAGTCTGGCAACAGCGTCTTGCGTTTTCTGTCAAGGCATACGCTGTAGAAGCATATCTGCATTGCTTGGTTCTGGACGAGGAAATCGCAGATGCCGAGGACCTGGCCGCATGGCTTGAAGACTCGATCGCCAACCAAGTTCAAATGGCAGATCTCGACCTTGCGGACATAGTCCTGAAAACCATGGCCGTCGTGGCCAAACACATCCCCGAGGGTGCAAACAATTACGCTCGGGCCCTGTTAAGATTCATTGTCCGAGGCACCTCCCGACCACCAGCAGTTGCCATCGCTGCGCAAAGCTTGTCGCATATCTTGAGGATGTTGTCACACGATGCTATTATCACCACGATATATTCACTGGGAAATGTTCTCAGTTCGCAAACAGGGGCCGAAAAGGTACACCAGGCTCACGGGTTGCTAGAGCACCCGGGTCACAATGGGTCCATGTCATCTACGACAAGACTCCGAACTGGGAGCGTCATTTCGCTCTCTCTGAGCGGTGACGAAGAAACATCGCTGGTTTGTGGCAATGTCGCAGATGCAATTGTTGTCATAGCCACCGAATGCAACGACAACAAAATAATCGCCCTGGCACAGATGATGATGTTACAAAAGGTGGGGAGGATCAGCGTCGTGGTGGATGCTCGCATTATCGAAGAAGCGGCAAAGCTCGCCATTTTTGGCAAGGAGAACGAGTTCAAGGCTTTGATCAGACTATACAGTCGAATGCATCACGAGGCTGTAGCTCAGGAAAACACCGTCATCATGCAAGCTATCCGCAACGCGCAAGAATACTTGGCAATCAACCTCGATAACCGATCCCCACTGTTCAAGATCTATGCCATGCAGCTGCTGGAACGGGTCCTCAGCAAGGGGGATGTTGTCGAAGGCGAATTCAAGCAGTCTGCGGAAGTCGAACAGGCTGCGAAAGAGATAGCACCTCTCCTCAAGCCGCTGTCTATTCTTGCTTCTCGAAAGCCTGCGCTAACCATCGAGAGCACACTTGCCGAAGATGGCGATGTGCTAAGCATGGTTAGAGAGGTCTGGTACAACATGGCTGTGCACGGAATCACTCTCCAGTCTCGCATCGGCCAGCAGCATTACCATGAGTTGCGGGTGTTGGCCATGAACTCGATGCCGCTCGTGGATGATGACCGTGCCGAGCTTTTAGAATCAGATGTGGAGATCAACACTGTCCTGCGGAGAGGAATGAACTCTCATCACATGAACGACCAAAAGAAAGCTCTTCTTTTCGCTATCCCCGATCGAGAATCTGACATCGGAAAGTTGAGTTACCAGAAGGTCGTGTTCTTAAATGCGGTGTTTCTTGTTGAAAGCCTCCGAGCGGTATCTGGAAGCTGTGCTGAGATCCTGGACTATTTCTCGGATCCGACGACGCAGACCAGCCACATGGGAGCATGTCTGGGCTCGATTGCGAACGAAGTTGTCAAGAGGTATACCCAGAAAGCTGTGGCTGGCAAGGACGATGATTTCAGCGCCCCGTATGTGTCTCGACAACTCGCTCGGATCCTGAGTGGCTGTTGTCACCGGAGCAGTAAGATGCAAGAGGTCGCAAGGGCAGCAGCCAACCATATCATCAGCTTTGTCCCTTCGGCCTTGTGTCAAAAGTCCGCCTTGTTTGCTTTACTGGAGCTCCTTTCTTTAATGTGGTCCAGCTGTCTTGATGCAGACACTGACGAGTACGAGTGGCGGCCCATTCTCACCTCGACTCGAGGCAAGATCACGGTTGAGTTATCCGACGACTACGCATTCCGCAAGCGCACTCTGCAGACGCTGCATAGTGATGCCAGGAAATGGGTGACCATGGTATTGGGGGTCGCACCTTTGGACGTCAAGGGCCTACTCCAGACATACCTCTCCGAATTCGATGACACTGGGGCATACGGACATATTTCCCTGGGCAGATCGTTTGCTCTGGAAATGGGCTCCATGATCCCCCCGACGGATCGTAGACTGAACGCCATCGACCGAAGAAATGACTCAATGGACATCAACATGGCGTCTGATTTTGTAGCCCAATACACTGCTCGGCAAGAATATCGATTTACAGGAATCCCGGACCACCACCGCGATGAGATCTACATGGATGACACGACCGGACGAAGATCTTCCCTGCAGAGGCCGTCTGCTGATCCAATGCCTGTTTTGCAAGATGCACTCCTCGACCTTCACAGGAAAACGAGTCTGAAGGTTCATGTTAAAGCGTTCGAAGTCCAGGATGTTCTGCGACGCGCGGCGGCTCTCCTCTGCCAGAGCAAGAAATCGCAGACAGCTATTGTGCACTACCTGGTCAATATTCCATTCGCCATTTTCACAAAGGAGTCCATTAAACTTGGTATCTCCTTGTGGCTTGGGGTCATCCACGAGAACACCAGGATGGAGCCCCGAATCTTGACAGAGGTTGCGCAGGCCTGGGAAAGGACGATTGATCGCAAAGTCGGCATCTTCAGCCCCAATTTCGAGCAACCAGATCCATTTTATGTCAAGGAAGAGTTCGCTCCATCTGACAGAGCTGCGCTGCACAAAGAAGCACAAGCAGCGCACAACACCATCGCGCCCCATTTCAGGTTAATGCAATTTTTCGAAAGTCATTTCAATGCCATCAGACTTGGAAGCGCCAATACTCAACGTACATTTCTCCGACTGCTAGAGCGAACTCTTCATGGCTTTATCCGTATCAAGGGACATCCCCTTCTGCGCGACATCCAATTCCACGTGGTCCTTTTCGCTCTTCGAGTGGTCAAAAATAGCACATGTCTCAACAAGTTGTCTATGTGGAAACTGAAAGATCTTATTCTATCCGTCGGACTGCAGTGGTTTGCAAAGCCGCCATATTGGTCCTTTGGTGGCAATCGGCTACAGTTAAAGGCTGAGGTTCAAGTGATGCAGGATGTTTTGGCCTTGTTGCAAGGTACCCGGATACCCATATTTCCAGCTTCGGCGACCAGAAAAGATCCCCAACAGAAGCACGAGCTATTAGAGGCTCTTCTAACGAACGAAATCAACCGGCTGAATGTTTGGTTGTCACCCCTTGGGCATTCGGGCCACCAAGCCCAGCCTGAGTCTCAAGTTGCAGGCCTCGTTCGGACCGCATGGGCAGAGGACCCAGCTCTGGCGGTACAGCTTCTCGCACGATTCAACTATGACCAGCTTCGCCGCGATGTCCGATTCCTGCTACTTAATCAACCCGAAAAAGCTCTGCACGAAGCTAATGCAGTCGATTTGCTGCTTGGGGACAGACTGGCGTCAGACTTGTCATTCCAATTGAAGTATCTATTATACTGGCGTCCGGTCAATCCAGTTCAGGCCGTGACGTACTTCATGCCTGCTTTTGGTAATCACCCATTCATCATCCAGTACGCGATGAGAGCTGTGGAGAGCCACTCTGTTGATGTCACGTTCTTCTATGTCCCACAGATTGTACAGAGCCTACGGTATGATGCGCTGGGATACGTCGAGCGGTACATCATCGAGACAGGCAAATTTTCCCAGTTGTTTGCTCACCAGATCATTTGGAACATGAAGGCCAACGCATACAAGGATGAGGACTCGCAAGTGCCGGACCCTGTCAAGCCCACACTGGATAAAGTCATGAACAGTCTGATCTCGAGTTTCTCCGGCGAAGACAAGGACTTTTACGAGCGAGAGTTTTCCTTCTTCAGTGAGGTAACCGATATCTCGGGCAAACTCAAGCCGTTCATCAAGAGGCCTAAGCCAGAAAAGAAGGCCAAGATTGAAGAAGAGCTTCGGAGAATCAAAGTCGATGTCGGGGTCTATCTTCCGAGTAACCCTGACGGTGTAGTGGTGGGCATCGATCGGAAATCTGGTAAGCCGTTGCAGTCTCATGCAAAGGCCCCGTATATGGCAACTTTCCGAATTCGCAAACAGAAGGGGGCCTCCAATGAGGAGACGAGCGACCTGATAGAGTCGGCACCCAAGGTTCAAATCGCCCATCCCAAGATCAGCCACAGCCGCAGAAATACAAGTGACATCTCCAACGTTGAGTTGAACGATGGAAATTTGTCAACTTATGAGGTTTGGCAGAGTGCCATCTTCAAAGTCGGCGACGACTGTCGGCAAGACGTCCTCGCGCTGCAGATGATTGCAGCTTTCCGTGGCATCTTCAACTCGATCGGCCTGGATGTCTACGTCTTTCCATATCGTGTCACCGCGACAGCGCCTGGCTGTGGCGTCATTGACGTACTTCCGAACTCTATCAGTCGCGACATGTTGGGCCGGGAAGCGGTAAATGGGCTGCATGACTACTTCATCACCAAATACGGCGGCGAACATTCCGTACGGTACCAGGAAGCCCGCAGTGAATTCGTGAAGAGCATGGCGGCATATTCTGTCATCACGTACCTCTTACAGTTCAAGGACCGCCACAATGGAAACATCATGATTGACGACAAAGGCCACATTCTCCACATTGACTTTGGATTCTGTTTCGACATCGCGCCGGGCGGAGTCAAATTCGAACGGGCCCCTTTTAAATTGACGCCTGAAATGATTGCCGTCATGGGCGGCGACGACCCTCATACCAGTCAACCATATCGCTGGTTCGAGGAGCTGACGATCAAGGCCTTCCTGGCCAGCCGCCCCTACTGCGACAAGCTCAGTCACTTGGTGAGTCTGATGCTAGACAGCGGGTTACCGTGCTTCAAGCCGGAGACGATGAGGAACTTCAAGCAGAGATTCGTGCTGGAAAAGACCGAGCGAGAGGCTGCCGATTTCATGTTGGGATGCATCAAGAAGAGCGCGGCGAACGTGACAACCAAAGTGTACGACGAGTTCCAACTGATCACCAATGGAATTCCGTACTAGATATTCTGGTCTAGTGACTCGTAAGAGGTTTTGTTTATCACCGGATGGTTGGGAAGGTGGATGGGAATTTGTGAGCAAAACTACTTATTATTATGAGAGCGGTTTCACATCGAGTTAGTTGGTCAGCGTGTGTATACAGTACAAGGCAACTTTCTAGCAAAACACAGCTAGTGATGTAATGCGGAACTTTTGCTCCCCTCCAGTTTGTACCCATCCTCCGTCCCAAGAACAGCTCATCTGACCAGTCGGGGAAACGAGGTGAGAGGGAGCAACTACCAAAAAGCTTCTCACGGTGTCAGCTCCCCCAAAAGCCATTCGCTCCCTCTGCCGCATTTCTCCTTTATGAGTCGCATGAGGGAGATGATGAGAGGAATCTGTCAGATCATGCATGGGGCGTGGGAAATCCAGCCGTTGTACATTGATCAGTCCGTCCTCCGTCCATCCACCAACCAACCAACCAACCAACCAGAAACAAAGCCTCCCCAAAAGAACCGGGGGAGGTGGGGGGGGGTTGAAGAGAGCAAAGAGCCCAAAAGGACTTATTTCGACACGAGTCCGATCTTGGCCAGCAAATCGAGCAGAAGGCCCCAGAGGTAGGGGATCAGCTTTAATTGTTCGATGAGCAGGGGCGCAATGACCACGAAGATCAGGAGTACTGTATATACACACAGAGAGAGAGAAAAGGTTAGTTAGTGGCTTGAACTTGTCCTGACGGGTCCATGCAACCATAAAGAAAAGATAGGCTGACGAACCAACAGCAGCGACACCGACAGGCGATCGCTTAGCTTCTTTCTTCTTGTACGCCGTCTCGGGCTTGCCCATGCGCTTCTCAACGCCCTTGGCGTGCTTCTCGTTGGCGCGGCGTTGGGCGGGAGTTTGAGCCTGTGTGGTTGTTCGTGAGTGGTGAATAAATAGTGCGAGAGAACTTGGGGGGACTGACCATTTTTGATAGACGAGGAAGGAAGCGATGGTGTAATTTTATTGAAGATCTAAAATGGTAAAGAACTTCTAGATAAAGAGAAGTCTTTCAGATGTCGAAGAGGCCCGGGTCGGTGTTCTTAACGGTACGTCGTCGTCGTAGGGATTGCCAATGTTTGGTAAATAAGTAAGATGTGGCCTTTTGTCAATGCCCTCTCGTCTGTCGGTGGTGTTAGTGTGTTGTGGCGAAAGCGTAGATGGGGATTCAAAGAGATGGAGAGAGAATGTGTGTGAGAGGGAGATGTTGACAGATATGAATGTAGAAGGATAAAGAAAGATGATGTGAGCCTTCTCTCTCTCTCTCCCCTTTACAGACTCTGCCATCTCGGCCCCTTTCTCCTACGCGTTGAAGTTCGACAGCGTGTCACGATGCCAAGGCTCAATCACGTGGTGATAAGGTTCCTTATCGCCAGGTCTCGTGAGTGCGCGCGTGTGTCCCTCTGATTTTAGGGACGAAGAAGCCACGCAGGCCTCCAAGCCATCATTCTTGAGGATTGTTACAGTTTATATGATACTATTGTTTGATCGAGTCTGCCCACAGGAATCATCACCCAGTACCGAGTCTGTGCGTCATAACCTCGCTGTAGCTCGGTTGAGTGGCCGATACCCTCCCCCATCTCGTGTCATGGTTACCTGCGAGACAAACTTGGAAGGCGATCAACTCCCTCCACAGTTGGCTCCTATAGCCCTTTACACCTCGTCCGTGGTCGCTGGCGGTTCGTGCCGCGGATGAACATCCCGTGCGCCTCCAGTTGGCCGGCTGCCTGGAGACTCGACAGCTTCTAGCTAAAACGCCTTGTCTTGTATCACCAATCCCATTCAACCCTTCATCTTCCAGCTAATGCTCAAACACCATCTTGGACTCGAGACATTCTCGCACTGGCTACAGGGCGATGACAACTCATCCGTGCAGCAAACTTCTGGCCTCCAAACGTGGGGGACCAAAAAGCTCAGCAGATGAAAAATTGGCCTGCCAGGCTTGCGTCGGCAGCTGATAGGCCCGTGGCCCAACCTCGCGGCACTCGCACGGACCATATGTTCTCGACTACGCCTCACAATTTAGGCCGAGGTGTCCAATTGTAAAAATGAAGGTCCCGTATCACGAATGAACCCTGTACATCATCATGCGAGGACGGCAACCCTCGATGGCATTGGTTGACACTTGGGCGTTGTTCCTTCACTCACTGGCAGACACGTGGAGGAAATCAAATGCCTCTTCCATGTGAAGGTGAGCGAGAGAGTCAGTGTGCATCCACAACCCAGGAGACTGGGCCATATACCTCAATCCCTCTGCATCAGCCTTCTCTATCTTCGAAACAGTTTGTCCACTTACAATGACTCGAGCCATGCTCTATGTCCCCCAACTACAGATTTTCCGTTGAACTGGAGCGCGAGATCTCGAGCACTGAGTCTTATGTGAACAAGATTCTTCGCCCTGTGCGTTCGATCAAAAGGAAAAGAGATAAACTTCCGGTGAGTTAATTGGTCGCTCTCGTATGCTTGCGCGACATACTCAAAGCTGCTGTGAAATCCAAGGTCCGACCAGCTTCCATGTCCGAGCCTGGCAACCATCCCATGACCAACGGAAAGGCGGAGAAGGTGTCTGATGGGCTACCGAACGGAGTCGATAGCCATGACTTGGACAGTGTGCAGCTTGACAAGTGGGATTTTGGTCCGCTCGGCGCTCAGATTCATGACCAGGTACACCATCTCCAAGAAAGTAGATCTCTCGGTGACAGCGCGCTTGCCAAACTCGCGGAAATATTCAATGGCCATGCAGAAATGATCAAGATAGTGGACGACAGATACAACACTGGGCAAGCACTTGAGATGGAGAATTCGGAACTTGAAAAAGAGAATAAAATGCTGTGGGCAAAATTGGATAAGATAAAACAGAGTCACAACGTGCAGTTGCGTAATGAGAAGAGAGAGTATGAGAAAGAGATTGCGCGATTGGAAACAAAGGCAGGCTCCGGACAGCGACTGAAGGACATGTACGAGAACCTGCTCGAGAAGCATAAGAAAGACCATGAGAAACTGGTCCAGGACGCCCAAGAGGCACTTGAGTTGAAGAAAGATCAGCTGGAGAAGGACAACCAAGAGAGGATATCCAAATTAGAAGCGGACAAGAAATCACTCGAGGAGAAGCTGGCGAAAAGGGAACAAGAACTGCAGGACATGACGCAGCTGCGCGACCAGGAAAGGCAAACTCGCGAAACTATGCAGAGCAAAGCGACTGCCGAACTCGAGAAGATCCAGCAATCGCTTGCCAGCGTCAAGGCCAAGTATGAAGTCAAGAGGTTGCCTGTGGAACACTAGTAAGTAACGCCTCCTCCTGGTCTGGGTTGCTTGGGCTAAAACACCGCCTACAGCGCGGAGCGATACAGAGACCTCATTGACTCGGTGGCCTCGACTGTTGACGACTATTTCTCTGATTTGCCGGACAAAGCAATAGAGGTAAGTGCTACCACCATCGTCGTGGTGGATTGATACTTTGTACTTTATTTGATGTCCTACTCATACGACAGCTCTTGATACAGAATCGCACTGGCACATATGGTCAACTGAAAAGAAAACGCAGCACTTTTGCGGTGGTACCGGTGACTCCAACGGAGACTGCGCGGGTTCTGCGACTTGCCAATGTGCAGAACCTCATTTTCGACGCCATCCGCGAGACGGTGTGGCAACCGTTTTTCTCTCGGTACCTCTGGAAAACGAAAAAGGACACACACGCCATCGATGAAATCTATTGGAATCTGGCAGCTGAGGGCGAAGAAATACAGCATGACTGGAAGGTGTCTACACTGAGGGTTCTGGATCGGCTCGACAATGGAGTGGACGTCGAAGAGAAGATCACAGCTGCGATCGACCAACAAGTCGTCCAGATACTTGAACCATTGTTGAGTGAGAGCAACAAGGCCGATTTTAGGTCCGAGCTGAAGAAGGTGTTTATCAAGGCGGCGGAGCTCGGTCAAGAATCCCGGCGCGACCGATGCCCGGTCTATATTGATAGCAGTCCCTCGGCGAACAGCAGCAGCGGGTGGAAGGAATTCAGCGAAGGCTTTGACGTTGAGGACGCGCCAGATCCGACCCTGGCCAGTTGCCGAGACAACATTTACTCAGCGCTCTGTGTGAGTCCGCGAGTGTACCGCAAGCGCGAGACGACGGCGACCCCAGGTGCAGGTCAAGAAGAAGACGAGCTAGTACACGCTGGCGTTGCGTTGTTTCCCGGTACTGGCATCTTTCAAAAGGGTAAGATGGAATGGGACGAGTTTGTGCTGCGGGAACGGGAGAGGTGGAATGTTGGCAGGACAAGGAGAGCCAGCGTGGCATCGAACGCGACAGGCCCGGGTCTTTCGCCACCAGAACTCTCGATCAAGCATTCAAAGACCTGGGGGTCGCATCTCAAGGCAGAGTATGATTGACTTGAAGAGGGGAGATATTGTTGATGGATGTACGGGGAGGGGTTGGGATGGACTGGACCGGACTGGACTAATACTCATCACAGGATATGGGATGGATATCTACTATCCGGTCTGCGGCTGATTCTGCGAAGGAGGTAATGGTAAAATGGTGGGGAAGTGGCAGGTGGATAAAAGTAATTCAATCGTCATCTGTCGCAGTGATGCATGTTGTATCAAGGACTCGTGTCATTTGGTCTTGTTGGCCCGAGCTGAGTGTCGACAACTACACATGTGTATACGTCCCCGGTATAGTCACGCTCTCTCTCTGTTCCTACTCTGTCCTGTTGGAGAAGAGAGGGATTTTAAATTCAGTGGTTCCCCCAATGCATTATGCAATATGCGATATCGGCCCTTGAATCCGTGAGGGGCATCAGCCGCCTGCCTGGACGAGCACCGTCATCCTCCCCTCCTCTCCCCTCCCTTCCTCCCTTGCAATAATCAATCACCATCTCTCTGGTAGTACCGTCGCACTGAAATGAGTGGAACGGGGTCACCAGTGCACGAACGAACGGCCATTGCCCGCGGGGAAAGCCGTACGTACCTGTCCGGCCACTTTGAACAGGCGATGGGATGCTGGATGGTTCATTTGCCGGTCTGCCGATCGGCAATGAAGGACAGGTGTTGGTTGTAGTGCTGTCATCTATTATGTTTTATATATGATACTCTTGTATGAGAAACAGGGATTGTTTTGGATGAAAAACCCTGTCCTGCTCCTTTTACCCCCCTTTGGATATTTTTTGTCCCGCTGTACCCTGTGTGTCTGTCCGTTGATCGGGTTCAAGGAGCCAATACGAAGGGAGGATTTGTGCTGTGCCAAACCCGTCCAAGACCAGTTCTTCGCATATTAGATAGGGACTTGAGGGCTAGGTTGTGCTAATCGGTCTGTCTGTCTGTCTGTCGGTTGGTCAGTCACGGTGGGTTGTGATTTGTGACGAAGAAGCTGCAAACCAGAGACAGGGCCAAAGAAAAAAAAAGGCAAGGGAGAAAAGAAGGCACAGTAGGGAAAAAAAAAGAGAAGAAGAATGGCAACCCTCCGCCTCGCGGCGTGGAGCGCGTCCCTCCAACTCACCGACCTGCCTGCGCCCGTCGTCCAGGCCGCTGTGCGCAGCTTCTACAACTGGACGGGCTGCGCGCTGGGCGGGTCGAACCACCGGACCACGACGACGGCGCTGGACGCGCTGGCTCCGTTCTTTGGCAAACCCACCTCGAGCATCCTCGGCCACCAGTCATCATCATCATCCTTAACATCATCGCCAGGGGACAATGGCAACGGCAAGGCCGACGCATCGCACGCGGCCCTGATCAACGGCATCGCCTCGCACGTCCACGACTACGACGACACGCACCTCGAGACCATCATCCACCCGACGGGTCCCGTGGCGAGCGCGTTGCTGGCGCAGGCCGAGGCGTTAGGGAAGCCTGTTGGCGGCGACGAGTTCATCGTCGCCCTCGTCGCGGGCATCGAGGCAGAGTGTAAAGTCGGGTTGGCCGTGTGGCCCAAGCATTATGATATTGGCTGGTCAGTTTCACCTCGCTCCCTCCCTCCCTCTTGATTTTCCTTCTCGTCTCTGGATTGCTCTTGACGGTTCTTGACGGTCCTTGACGGTCCATGTGCCTCGTGATCCGAAAGGCTCTGTGACATTCAGCACCAGCATCTCAGGGAGAGTGGTACCAGTTATTAGGGGCGAAGTGGATGTATCTACACATCCCTAGTCCCCTCTTTTTGACACATAAAGAGAGCGCAAATGGTGGCAAATACATGAACTACTTCATCAACTAACAACTCCTTCTCGCTACATATAGGCACATCACCTCAACAACCGGCTCCATCGGCGCCGCCGTGGCCGTGGGCAAGCTGCTTAATCTCACCACGGAACAAATGGCGCACGCGATCGGCATCGCCGCCACGCAGGTCACGGGCCTGCGCGAGATGTTCGGCTCCGACACCAAGTCGTTCCACGTCGGCCGGGCGGCACAGAACGGGCTCATGGCCGCGGTGCTTGCTTCGAAGGGGTACACGTCGTCGACGCAGGCGTTGGAGGCCAAGCGTGGGTGGGTGAATGTGGTGAGCGAAACGCAGCGGGTGGACGATGCCGTGGCCACGCTCGGCACCGTGTGGGAGACGGAGAAGAACTCGTTCAAGCCATTTCCCTGCGGCATCGTCGTGCACCCGATCATCGACGCCTGCATCCAACTGCACCGCGACATGCAGCAGCGCGGGCTCGCCGCCTCGCAGATCTCCCGCGTCCGCTGCACCGTGCACCCGCTCGTGCTGGAGCTGACGGGCAAGAAAACCCCCAAGGATGGCCTGCAGGCCAAGTTCTCCGTCTACCACGGCGGCGCGGTCGGGCTGGTGCTGGGCAAGGCCGGGCCCGCGCAGTACGAGGACGCGGTAGTTACGAGCGACGAGATCGTCAGTGTCAGGGACAAGATTGCCGCCACGGCGGACGCCGCGCTCGGCGCCGACGAGGCCGTGATTGTCGTCGAGTTTGATGCAGGTGGTGCTGGAGGCTCCGGCGCGCCCACGACTCTCACCAAACACGTCCAACACGCCATCGGCAGTCTCGAGGTGCCCATGACAGACGCGCAGTTGCAGGACAAGTTCATCGACCAGGTGACTCCCGTGTTGGGAGCCCAAGGGGCCAAGAAGGCCAGCGACACCGTGTTGGCGCTGCGGAGCGTTACTGATGTCTCTGTGTTGGCTGGGGGGTTGTAAAACGTACTGGAGACAGAGACAGAGAACCTCCTCCGCAAAGAGATGAAGAATGGCGTAACGGGCCTTCCATCCAGGTTAGGGACTCGGGTGACGAAAGACGGAAAGAAAGAAAGGGCAGGAAGAAGGCAGACAGAAGGAGAGTAAGAAAAGAATATAGACAGAAACTGAAAAAACTCGGTCCAGCCTCCTTACATGGCGCGGGAAGTAGGTGTTATACGGCTTGACAAAGGGACTTCATTATCTACATATATACATACACATCTCTCTATCTGTACCTACTCGGCGTGCTCGCTACCATCGTATCTATCTAGATACTTTGGTGTCTACGCGTATGCAAGTAGCTAGCCATGACACGCCACTTCCTGTTTTCGGACGCGGCACTGACCGAGATCAGTAGACCAGGTTATCCAAGCCAAAGTCCTGCCAATGCACACCATCAAAAGCCTGCGGCGGCCCCACGTCTAGAGACTTCAGCCTGCTCTCGAGAGACGAGGCCGTCGACTGGGCCTGGTCAGAGCTACTCCCCAAGAAACTGAGGGCGTCGATGCAACTCGTCGACTGCCGGGTCAGCTCGGACACGCTGGTGTTGGCGGATATCCACGCCTGCTGCGAGGTGGTGAGGGCGGCGGCGGCCCCGGCGGCGGCGGGGTCTTTCGTGGACGACAGCCACGTCAACAGCACTTCGCACGCCTTTGCGAGAGCGCGGTTGAGGACCTCGGGCCACGGCTCGGTGACAAGCGCGCCGTAGGCGGTGGCGTAGTGGAAGGACTGGTCTTGACCTGACATGCGGGAATCGGACGGTTTGGCCGCCCTCGCGAGGTCGGCGATGGCGTAGGCGTTGGCTTTCTGCAGCTCCAAAACCAGCGCCGACGACTGTCGCAGCGAGCGCTGCACGCTCTCCGACTTCAACGTCCCGTCCGCCAGGTCGATGTACTGGGCCAGAAGCAGCCCGGCCAGGTGCCAATGGCTGCCGAGAACGACGTACCACGACTGGATCTTGAATGGCAACTGGGCATGGTTCGCGAGGCAGTCCAGCATGAAGTCGCCGTAGTGCTGTTGCCAGTACTCATACACTTTCAACGTCTCTGCGATGCATCTCTCGATGGCGGCTGGCGGTGTCTCCTTGGACAGGTGGGCGTGGAGGACCGTGAGTCTCCTCCACAGCAACACCTTGACAGGCGTTGCTTCTTGGAGCAGTCTCTCCCCAACGTCCTGCGGCCAGGGCCATCGCACGGCGGGGACGCCAAAAACAACGGGTTGAGCATTTGCCAGACAAGATCCCCAGACACTAGCATTCGAACTGGTGCTTCTTGGGGGGTGACTATGTCTGTCGAAGGGTGTGGCGACTCCTGTAGGCTGTGAAGCCGGTTGCCCGTCGTCAAGGGTGAAGACCGAGTCGTCGTCAGGGATCACAGGGCCCTGCTCATTCAGAACCGCCGACGTCGTATCACACATGATGCTGAACCAGAACAACATGTCAAACGCTTGGTAATCTTCCAGCAGAATTGGATGTGATGAGCTCGAAATATTCTGCGAGGAAAGCTGAGCTCGCGCCGCTTGTTGCCGTCTGGCCGAGGAGATTCTCCTCTTCCAGGTGAGTAAATGGCGCAGCGCAATCTCAAGATATCGCTCATTACCAACCGTGATGGCTCTTGTTCGATCCGCAGAAGGAAGTGCCTGGTCCCTTGAATTTGTAGCCGGTACAGACGCAGCCGCAGATGTATTTCTCTGATCAGAGAACAACCTCGAATGCTCGTAGACATCAGCCCTGCGACGATTGAGTGGTCTCTCCATGATGGCGAATATCATCAGAGCAAATACTAGCTCGAAAGAGTCAATGTTTAGACAAGCGTGCACAGCGTCCGCCGCCTCGTTCCAGAGACTCTGCTGGACGAGGCGCTCAAAGTCGTAAGGATCCACGCCGGTCGTGTCTGGCATGTTTTCACCAGTCGCATGTTGGGGCTCATGGGCGTCGCTTTCCAAGTCAGTCGCGCGCGAACGCCGCACCCTGTCATGTGAATGAGTCCATTGGCAGGCAAACGCCATGATCGCAAGCATGAGGGCCTTGGATACCCTGGCGCCGTCTCCACGGCTCAACGACTGTCTCCGGAGAGGCGAAAAGGCGTTGTCAAGCCTCCTGATCCGCTGATAAAAGCCGGTACTTGCCAGATATGAGACGAGCCTCTGTCTTTGGTTTGGGCTCCCCTGAAGCAGTCTGGGCAGCTTGTAAGGGCAATTGGACACGGTGACCCAGCAAGAGAGAGTATTCTCAAAACTGTCATGGTATATGCTTAGCAGTCTGTCAGAAATCAAACCTTTGCTGAAAGACTGCGTAAGGTCAAACTCGCGCATGTTGAAGGTGACATCGTCCGCTACCTGTGATGTATACGGTGGAATATTCCCCAGTCCTGTATCGGTGAGTAGAGACAAATCGCCCGAGTCTAGAGTAAGAGGGAATGTCCCTGTCTGATCTGGAGGATAGGGTAAACTTGGGTCGATTTCGTTAAAGCCTTCGTTATTGAACTGGGGAAACCCAGCGAGCGAGCCATACATGGGTGAATTCCAGCTCCCGAATGACGAGGACTGGCCACTGTCGTCGAAGGAGGGCACTTGGGCTCCCACGTACGCTGCGCCGGACTGCCAGAACTCTTGTCCTTGGTCGTGGGGAAAGGGTGAAGCTGACCATGCGATATTTTCCAGCCAGTTGGTACTGGCACCTAAGGTGTCAATGGAGTTATCGGCCCCAGTCGCGCACAGAGTAGTTGCTGCCTGCTGCTCAATGTTCCTGTGAACCGCCTGCTCGCGACGCGGTGCTTGCCACGGGCTGTTTGTGTTTTCTACGGCTGGTCCGTTCATGGTCCAGTTTGTTCTCATGCTGGCCGTCTCGCTGAAACTGGCACCGTGTGGGAGGGTGGGCTGTGACGGGTGTCGAGGCCCTTGTGAGGACTCTCCTCTGGTATGTAAGGCAGGGTCATAGCGCCTGCTGAATTTCTGCTTCAGACTCTCAGGCAATGTCCCGCGAGGAAGATCTTGGAGCCAAGTGAATGTGCATTCCTTGTTCGCGCGTCGACACGTCGAGCAGGCTATCGCTGCAGAGCTGGTCCCCGCGCCCGCGCTGCCCGGTTGTAGAGGGTTGATGCCCAAAGATACCGCATCGCAAGCCCGCCGGCCCTTGCGACAGTTATCACAACTCCGGTATTGTCTCCTCTGCCTTTTTGGCGCACGTGGTTGGGACGCCTCCTCCATCGCGGTTCACAAGCAGAATTCGGTGGCTCAGAAAGGGGGGATACGACTCGGGAACAGCCCACATACCATAGCCACAATCCGTACAACAGTATATTCTTCGAACAGACAAGTCCATATGAAGGGGGAGGCAAAATAATATTATATCGGAAATGCGGATCCGGAGCCGTGCCTTGCATGGGTTCGTCTGTCAGGATCTTGGAATCGCGGCGGCGAAAACCGGCAGTGCAGGGATGCTAAACCTTGTTATGCCCCCGGAGCCGCTTAAACGATGCGGCAGTTCCAACCTGCTATGAACGAGACTCGAGTCAGAGGTTCTAAGAGTGGAAATGGCGTCCATAATGAAAAGGATCTTGACGGAGCGTCGCTGTGTGCTTTCATGAAGACTTTGGTAAGGAGAACACAAAGTGTTTTAAGCATAAGTTTAGGTAGGTTAAGAACTCTTCAGGGGCGAAATGGAAAGCATTTTAGGCCTATCCACATTCTCCCTGGCGTCACCTGCCCTAGGCTCAAGTACAGATGCTAAGTATTACCTCGTACATGATGACCGTTAGACTGTGCGGACCATCGGATCCGAACACACATCATCCCACTCCCGACCAGAGATGCTATCTCAAAAACTGCGCTTTGATTATGTACATTTTCTTCATATCTGGCTGCAGTTCAGCGTCATATTGTTTCCCAGGGAGGGTCTGCATTTGATGGGTTCCTGCGCCCCTTAGACTGACGTCCGAGCTCAAGTCGCTGTCATTAGTACAGTTTTGCGCCGTGTATGTGTACAGTGCGGAAATGCTTTGTTCAACCTTGCGACAAAATGAGGGTATACGAGTTGAAGGAATTTTGGCACAGCCATCCGCACAGTGTTTCGATGAGATCCATGTTCACCATGCTCACGCTGGCGTCCAGTCCTCCAACCCAGAGCACATGTCCTCCGCTGCAGACGCTGTCACAGTCGTCAACCTTTTCGGGGTTGACATTGGTTCTCGACTGCGCATAGCGGCTGACCTTTGACCAGACACTCGTCTGCTATAAGGAAATCAATCCGTCGCCGTCGTTATGCCCCCAGAGTATCACCATGAGCTCAGTCTCGGCCTATCGACATTGATCAGGACGGTGAAAGGGTGCGACGCAAGGTATGTGCTCAACAGAGATGGTCAAGATCCATTGCTTTAGAGGCAGGAAATCCAATGTACCATGCTCAAACATGGTAGTGGCGTGTAATTGTTGACAGGTTGGAAGGAGAGTACGAGTACCCGGAATGAACTAGCCATGTCCTCATGTTCTCGAGTGATGCGGGTCCGCAGGTCCGCAGTGTCTTCCATTTTCTTAACACAACCGCATCTGAGCATAACAAAGTCACAGAGCATCTCCTAGTTCTATTTGTGCCTGGATTGAAGGAGAAGACCTTATTGTAAACCATTTGGGCATCTAAGATCGTGGAGAAGTCCCGCTATCCATGCCTGTCTTACCATGCGGTACGGGAGGCCCTTCACAGTCGAACGGCTAGATAGAACATCCCTCCCAGTCAAGTCGAGAGATGCCATGCGGAAACTGTGAGATAACATATGGGTAGATCGTAGGCGAAGGAGTTGAGACCATCATCAAACCTCCCATCCCTGCTCCAGCATGTCCACACGCCCAGATTGTATGTGGGAGGCTAGCTGAATGACCATTTGGGTTTATTAGCATTACCGCACGCGTCGCTATCGTTATAGACCCTTCCTGAGGGAGCCCGCAGGATCATCGTCGGTGCTTAGAGGGGCTCCCACTGTCTGCCGCGATTTGACCTCTTAGCTTCGAACTGCAGGATGTGAAACGGATCAGATTCCAACCCATGACCTAATCGTTTGTACCCACGGTCAAGTCAAGGCGGTGTTTCAATGCGCTGGTGGCAGCTCCGATATAACTGACACGCTGGCGCTTTCGTAGAATCCACCATCGCAAAGGCTGTCGCGTGGAAAATCACTTGCCTAAAGTCTCAACGTAAAGCTGTTTGGCCGGAATCAGGACGAGACTGAGATTGTGGTGACGAGGCTGAGAAGACGAGGCTGTGGCGTCCACAGCTAGTGCAAACCTTAAAACCGGAATCGCATGTAATTGGCTGGAGGTCGACTTCTGAACTTTTTCTTGTGAAATTTCAAAAAAAGCATCTCAACCGGCTCAGCCTTGACGTTCTCAGATAATGATGTGGCTATTATACCTCCAATACAAATACCTTGGTTCTTTCTGAAGTATCGCATGACTTCAAGGATGAAAACTTTGGGCGACAATGGCTACCAAAATCCACCACAAAACAACCTTTGAAGCCGCGAAAACCATCGAGCCAATATTCACCGGCGGTGATGTTTCGCACGATGCAAGCGGCTCTTACATCGCAACTTGTGTCGATGAAGACGCCCTTATCGTCAATATCCAGACCGGCAAGGTGCTCTGCCGCATCGAAGGAGATGGAGAAGCTGTGACGAGTCTGTGTCTGGCTCCAGATTTATCCCATTTGGTCATAGCTTCACGGTCGCTTTCACTACGAATCTTTTCGCTCAAGCCTCTAGAAGGATCTGAATTGATCACCGCAGAGCTCACACGCACGTTGAAGCCACATACCACTCCAGTTGTGTCATCGGCTATTGATGCCACAGGATCACTTCTGGCGACGGGAGGTGCCGAGGGCACAGTGAAAGTATGGGATCTCAGGGGCGGTTACATCTCACATACCTTCCATGGCCACGGCGGTGTCGTCTCTGCCCTTCACTTCTTCCAATCACAATCAGCCAGTTCCTCAGATTCCCATACAAGCCGCAAGCGGAAGAGTCGTGGCGAAGCCCAAATGGAGGTAGATGATCCAACCCCAGCTCGGACCATCTATGTTGCATCTGGAGGCGAAGATGGGAAAATCCGCATATGGAATCTATCTACCCGAAAGTCCAGCGCGACCCTTGACTCTCATGTCAGTGTTGTGCGGAGCCTGAAATACTCCAAAGAGCAACAACTTCTCCTCTCCGCAAGCCGCGACCGGACAATAATTCTCTGGGACTCCCGAACGTGGAAACAGCAACGAGTCATTCCAGCTCTGGAAGTGTTGGAAACGGCGGGGTTTCTCCTGGATGGCCGGTTTTGCTATGCTGGAGGAGAATACGGCGCAGTCAGGATCTGGAATATCACCACTGGCCGTGAACTCACTTCCAAGCCGAAACCCGGACTTGAGAATGATGCTATCACAGCGATCATCCCGATGATCGAGGATGATACGATACTATCTGTCCACCAGGATCAAACGATGAAGTTACAGAGTATTTCTGCTCTGCGCAACCTCCAGATGTCAGAGACACTGGGGAGTTTACCTGTGATTCGGACGATTTCTGGAAACTACGATGAAGTTATTGACATGGCCTGCGTCGGTCCTGACAGGTCTCTACTAGCACTTGCTACCAATACGGAGAGTCTTAGATTGATTTCGATCCAAGACAATGGACAATCAACGAATTCAAGCGCCCCAGAAGGCGTCGAGCCATTCGGAAACGACGTTGTCCTGCTCGAGGGCCACGAAGACATAATCATCTGCTTGGATGTCGATTGGTCAGGCCACTGGGTCGCAACTGGTGCGAAGGATAACACTGCAAGGCTGTGGAGACTAGACCCGGCCTCATCGTCGTACGAATGCTTTGCCGTTTTTGCTGGACATGCAGAGTCCTTAGGGGCCATTGCATTGCCCAGAAGTCCACCAACGGACGGACCGTCCCTAAGGAGTCCTTCAACATACCCTCCGGCATTCCTTCTGACGGGCTCACAAGACAAGACAATCAAAAAATGGAACACTGCAAAACTCAAGTATGACGAATCAGCAACAGAACCACATACTGGCATCAAAGCCTTGTTCACTCGGGTCGCGCACGAAAAGGATATCAATGCAATGGACGTATCTCCCATCGCGCCGCTATTTGCTTCAGCTTCTCAAGACCGCACCATCAAGGTGTGGTCACTGGAAGACGGCTCTGTGACGGCCATCCTGCGCGGCCACAAGCGAGGTGTCTGGTCTGTCCGCTTCTCTCCCGCAGGGACGCCTCCGCTTTCTCTGCCAGATGGTGGTTCAAGTGGCGCTCGTGGCCTGCTTGTCAGTGGCTCAGGTGACCGGACAGTCAAAGTATGGTCACTTTCGACCTACACCTGTCTTCAGACGTTCGAGGGCCACAGCAACTCGGTGTTGAAGGTTGTTTGGCTTCCGCCCATCGATTCCAACTCTAAGGACGAGGATATGGAAGAAGACGACCGTCCCTCGCAGGCCCAACCCAACAGTCAACCATTAATAGCATCCGCATCCTCAGACACACTCGTCAAAATCTGGTCGCCATACTCGACCGCTGACTCTGATCATCTCCTAACAACTCTTGACAACCACACCGATCGTGTGTGGGCGCTGGTGGCTCCAAACTCGTATCCGCGAATACCACCTCCTTCGTCGTCTTCGAGCCAAAAACGCCGCACCAAGTCCCAACCCCAGCCCTATCCCTACGCACTGATATCGGGTGCTGGCGACGCGACCTTGACGTTCTGGCGCGACACGACCCTCCAAACGACCTTACTGGCCTCTCAACGCGCGACCGAGCGGATCGAGCAAGATCAGCTCCTACAGAACCACATCTTCAGCAAAAACTACCGCGAAGCCATCACCCTGTCCCTGGCGCTGGGCCACCCCGGCCGACTCCTGCGCGTTTTCGAGGACGTGGTCAATTCCTCCGAATCCCGCGGCAAGTCAAGGACCTCGGGTAGTGACGAGCACGTTGACGACAGTAGTAACAGCATCACAGGCTCGAAAGCCGTCGACGACGTCCTCGCCTCCCTGGACCGGACGCAACTCTGGCAATTACTCGAGCACGTGCGGGATTGGAACACCAACGCCCGCACGGCGCCCGTGGCCCAGAGGATCCTCAACTGCCTGCTGCGGTCGTACCCGAAGGACGTGTTTGTCGACATGGCGCGGGCGAGGAAGAAGAAATTGGGCGGCGCCGTGGCCGGCGACCAACCTGAGACGAGGCAGAGACGCAAAGGAGGCGGGGACATGCAGGACCTTCTGCGCGCGCTCGAGGTCTACACCGAGAGGCACTACAAGAGGATGGACGACCTGGTCGACGAGAGTTACCTGATTGAGTATACGCTGCGGGAGATGGATGAGGTTGCGGGCGTCTCTACCGCCGGGGATTTGAATGGGTCGCTGCTCACCAACGGGCATGAGGCGCAGAATCAGAGAATGGATGGGGATGTCATCATGGTATGATGAGAATGTTTCGGCTTTGCTAGTTGTGCAATAATGTCATGGGAGAAAAAGTTCATCACGGGCATTAAATATATCCTATGGGTATGCATGCAGACTTTCCATCTGACCAAAGACTTCACGGTTTTCTTTCCCGACTAACCCAACATTATCTGTCCCGGTGGCGACGGTCGCTGTCTCTGTCCCTATCTCTGTGCCTGTCTCTGTCACGGTCTCTATTTTTATCTCTGTCCCTGTCTCGATCTCGGTCTCGGTCCCTGTCCCTGTGACTTCGATGAGACGAACTAGAGTCGTATCTGTCATCATCACGTCTCGATCGCGAGCGTTCGTAGTCTCTGTCATCTGTGTCCCGCCTCGAACGGGAATCTTGACGTCCATCACGGTCGCCCCTCGAAGAGCTGGAACGGGAGAAAGAATTCATCTGTTCTCGATAGTCTCTGTCTCCATTCTTTTGTGGGTCTTTGTCTCGATGCCGATCCCGACCACTGATCTCAAGGTTGCGATCTCTGCGCTGCTTCCACTCTTCCTCTTGTTTGGCACTCGACGACTCTTTGAGTCGTTTCTGGAACTCGTCCTCCGAGATACGTTCCCCCGTGGCTTTATTCTCGCGCATGAGTGGCGTGAAAAATCCCTGTCCTTTTGTATTCTTCCGCATGTCGGCCTTTCCCCATGCACCCAACTCGATATCCGATCCTGGAGCGGCTTTCGCCCCAATCCCCAGAAAGCCTTCTTGCTTGCGGAGTTTTCGTGGATTGTCGTCATTCTTTGAAGCAAGATCGATGATCTCCCCGTTGGCGCGCCGTTTTTGGCCCATCCCTCTCAACATAGCCATTCCAAACTCTTCTACAGGCATGGCGGCATACTCCTCGAGAGTGCTAGAATCTGGCCTAGAAGCGACATCTTCCCTGAAATCTTGCGTTTCGTCTTGGGGCGATAGCTGTCTGTTTCCCTGTATTGTTATGACAGCATTCGACCTTGTCTTGCCAGATCCATCGTCTAATAGCGCTTGCAAAGCTTCCTCGTCCGCCGTCAGCTGCTTCGGCTGTGCAGCGGGGTGTTCCTCTTGTGATTGTTGACCGCCATTTGTCTCATGTGCTCTTTCCTCCTCGTCCTTTTCCGCAAACTGTAGCCCGCTAGCCTTGCTGACCTCGTCTCGCTCTACCACAACAACTCCATTGCCGTTCTGCTGTTGCGCTTGAACCTCTGCAGGGAGTAGATTTCTCCGCCCTTGTCTGCGCCAGTCGGCATTGCCGGCATTCGGTATCACTTTCACTTGCGAGTCCTGTAGGGGCTGACTTAGAATAGCACCACTTGACGAGAAGCCAGAGACTGACTCGTGTCTTGGCTCTTCTTCATCTTCGTTGTCCGAATCATGGCGGAGTGCGGTCCGTGAGAGGCGACTAGTCGACGGAGTGTGGGTTTTGCGGGATGTCGTTCCTACAGATTGGGCCGGTGCGGCACCTTTTGGTTTGCCCAAACCGAAGGAAATCGGTTTCATCGTTGCCGCAGGATCATGGACCAAAGAACTAACAAGACTTCAGGCGACAATACTGCCTTGACTGCGCAGGTTCGAAGTTGGGGAAAATCTCTCGGCAAACCTTCTCCACTTTGAGGCGATGCCAAGACCTCGATATCAAAGTCACCAAAGGCTGAAGTTGTGGCCGGCGCGCCCAGTCTCTCGACTTTGACCGTGTGCATCTTTTTGAAGGACGCGCTGGCAACCTTTTGCTTGCCAGGTTCCATCTACTCACACCCAATTCTACATGCAGGCTCACCGTTGACGTCCACCAAATCTATCGCCTATTCCTCGCCCGTCACCCCAACCTATGTTTCCCCACCTTCACAAAACTTGTTGAGTGCCGTCGCTCAAGGTTCAACATACACTCATCCCATACCGATGGCCGAGCCTCAGACCGAGATGCCGGACACCGGTATATCCCCTCCCCCGATCTATCTCAAGCATATCGAGGATATTCGCAATCTTTCCGTGTGTAAGATCTGCATGCGATCCTTGTACGAGCCATTCATCCTCTCGTGCGGTCACACCTACTGTTACTCGTGTCTTGCTAGCTGGTTTTGCGAAGGCTCGAGAAAGACGACCAAGAAAAACTGTCCAGACTGCAGGGCGAGGGTCACAGTGGAACCGTCACCCAATTATCTCCTCCGAGATCTTGTCCACGTGTTAATCGCTCGAGCCGAGTTGCTTCCTGAAGATGAGACCCTACAGGAACACCAGCTAGCCAAGGAGGCAGAGGCAGCTCAGCTCGCTGCAGATCGCACCGGACCTGGTCTTTTCCAAGGCTTGTTCCGGAACCAGGAACGGAGATACTTAACCTTGGCTCGTGGACTTCTGGATCAAGAGGACCATGTCGTCCGGTGTCCTCAATGTCACTGGGAACTTGAAGAGGGCGAATGCATGCGGTGTGGTTTCCATGAAACATACGACTCGGATTCCGATACCATGTCTCCTTATAATTCCCCACGCCTGACTTCTTCGGAGTATGACTCGCTCGACGAGATTGATCACGCATTCGACGGGTCCATGAACGAAGCTGGATTCGACTACTATAGTGGCGAAAGATCCCCTCGGTCGTACACAACAGATGAATATGAAAGCTATGCCGAGGAGGATGACATGGACAATTTCATCGACAACGAAGCAGACGAGGCTGATGACAATACTGATAGCGAATCCACCATGACCATGTACAATCGGCAATGGGCTGAGAACGAAAGTTTGCATGCCAACCCGTCAGAATATGCGAGCCAAACCTCTACAGATAGTGATCACCATGAACACTTCGGTAGACATGGGATTTATGCTCAACGCTCACGAAATGACGTCGAGGAAATATCTGATGCAGAGACAAATTATGATGAAGTGACAGAGGCTTCCGATCATGAGCCTGAAGTACCACAACCAAGTTGGCGGAGGACAAGAGCAGCGAGGGTCATCGTAAGCGATGACGACGACGACGACGACGAAGAAGAAGAAGAAGGCGGAGAGGAACAGGATGATGCCGCAGATGATGCATACGACGATCCATTTGAAAACAGAGATCTGGACCACAGAGATCATGAATCTGACGATCAACATAGAGAAGAAGAGGGTGACGAACGGTATCCATCAGAGCACTCGGAAACCGAAGTCGATCAGGATTGCTCCGAATCGGAGGGTTCAGATGTGCGACCACCTCAGCCATCAGCTCGGCGCAGACAGCATTTGCAGAGTCAGCGCGTGCGACGAAATGACCATAGCCTTCAACCTCATATTGCGGGAGGCCAACGACTGAGCAGTCCTGCAAGACAACAGTACCGCCATCGTCAGAGAAGCAGTATATCTCAAGACAGCACGTCGGGTCGACGGCATGGTTACCATCGACCCTTTGCAAGATCAGGCCTTGGTCGAATATTGGTTGGAGGCACGACTGGCTATCAGTCGTGATGAGAGCGAGATTGACTTCCAGCAGCCAGAATCGCTCGTCTGAACAATTTCTAGCATGGCGTTTTGCAAGAATCAATGGATTGAGGGGCTTTGTGTGGGACGATAGAAATTCAGGGCGGCTGCCATTTCACTTCAGCAGCTATGGGAAAACAGGGAGATGATGAAGGCGTGTGAGCCAGAGAGATGTGCACCTCAGTAGTCTAGACATTTCTACTGTAAGAAGCGCTACAATACTCTGAATGAAATGAACCCAATTTTCTTCATTGGAGCCACTAAAATCAAACCGTGTCTACGCCGACGCTATGCATAAAGTATGATCGATTGGGAAATCCTTTCATTCTTCCTTTTTCCACGTCTAAGCAGCCAGAACCTGTTTGCTAGTGTCATACTCCAGATCCACGATGCCGTCTTTCTTGACCACTTTCACCGTCATGCCCTTGAAGTCAATAGGGAGACGTCGCTGCAGCTCGTCCGTGCACATGCGCAGAATCTTCAAGCCTTGGTCGAAGGAGATGTCTGGGTGGTGGTGTTTGTCGAGAATTGAAAGGCAGTAATACCTGAATCACGATGGGTCAGTCGATCAGCCATGCCACGATCATCCACACAATCCGAAATCTTTTGTTGGAATAACTCACTGGGCATATCCGTGACACGCGTATGGCACCTTTACGCTGCTCGCAAGGTAGTCCAACCAGTACAGGCTCGGCTCCCTCGTGATCGGATCAACGCCCCCCAGTAGCAAGTTCACCGTATATGGTTTCCTGCTCCTCAAACTCCGCGCCAACTCCCCTCTCACAAAGCTGGCCACTGCCGAAGGGCCCAGATCCGTGTCATTGCGCATTGAATAGAGTGCGACATTTGCTTGGATGAACTCTGCGAATTGTATAGTATCGCCCGCTTCGCCAGAAAAGGCCAGAAGGGTGTGTTTGTTGAGTTGTCGGGTTTTGTCGTCACTAGACTTGAGGATAGTGGCGCCGCGCATGGCAGCTTTGGAGGCGGCGATGATGGTGAAGTCCCGGCCAGTGAGACCGATGAGGACCTCCCTAGAGACGTGTTGTTAGATTCTTGGGCTCAATCATGAACAGATTGAACATAACCTTACATTTTGAATGAAGTACAAAGGGGTGCGGTTGGTTTTATGTAGAGGCAAAGGTTCTGAAATCGACACTTTCCCAAATACTTTGGAATCCTCTAGAGAGATGATCGGTACTCGCAGGCTATTCTTGAGGAGATGGTGGTGAGTTGAAATTGGGTGGACGAGTGCTCAATTGCTCGAACACGCACGCGAAGCTCTGCCTTGGACACACAAGGCTGGGCTAGTGTTTCTCTCTCCGGAAGGTGCGGCGAGTGTGATTAATTTTCCGACAAGGCTGGGCTACGAGACTGAAGATTTGCCCGCATCTCGAAAAAAGTTTTTGGAGAAATTCATCTCGCCGCAATTGATTGTTAGTCTACTCTGACAACAGTCAAGTTGCGAAGACGCACAGATGTCCTCATTTTTTACGCTTCCGGCGTCACAGAGGAAGCGTAAGCGAGAATATCCCGCTTCAGGCAAAGCGAGGAAAAGGCGGGAAGTTGAAAATGCCGACGGAGCACGAGAGCAACCAGGTGGCCTACCCCGTCGACAAGGCAGACGACCCCAAGATCGAGATCGACAACGAGACGATTCAATATCTGGGAGCGAATCCGAAGACGAAGTCCAACCAGAAAGCGATGTCGAGGAGTCAGAGGCGACTTCCGAAGAAGACGAGACTGCGGCTGAGCGACGAGTTAGACTTGCACAGCGATACTTGGACAATATCAGGCAAGAGATAGACGAAAACGGGTTTGACGCAGAAGACCTTGACAACGACTTGATTGCGAAACGGCTGAAAGAGGATGTTGATGAGGCAAAGGGCAGACAGTATCGACTGATAGCCCAAAACTTGGATTTCGCGAACGCCGCTCACACGGCATTTCGTGCGAATACCGAAACCACTACTAGCGTGGCAGCTTGTCAACCCTACGTGTACACAGTGAGCAAAGACAAAACGTTGATAAAATGGCAACTTCAACCACCGAGCACTCCCTCAGATGGCCTAAAGTCTGGGGCTTCACGCCGACGTCGACCCAAGCAACTTGCATTTGTGCGAGGCATCAAGATCAGGGCATCCGCTCCCCAACAGCATGGACATACCTCGCCTATCCTCTCTGTCGCTGCCTCACCAGACGGGAGATTTGTGGCGACCGGAGGGGCGGACAAGAAGCTTATCATCTGGTCAGCAGAAGACTTGCGGCCCCTGAAGACATTCACTACACACAGAGATGGAGTTACCGGACTCGCATTTGCGCCAAAATCGGCTAGTGCAAGCGGCTTTGGTCAACAATTGTTCAGTGCTAGCATGGATCGGTCTCTTAAAACCTACAGCTTGGCTGGCGAGGACAGTCTTGCCTACGTGGAGACACTCTTCGGTCACCAAGACCATGTTGTTGATGTCTCGGCCGTGTCTGTGGATCAATGCGTGACGGTCGGCGCTCGAGATCGAAAAGCCCTCTGGTGGAAGGTTGTGGACGAATCCCTTACAAAGTTTCTAGGCGACAGTTCTAGAAACGACAAATACCAGGCTGGCAGTCTGGATTGCGTGGCCGCCTTACCGCCACAGAACTTTGTGACGGGATCTGACGCAGGCACCATTAGTCTGTGGAGTATACACAAAAAGAAAGCGATTTTCACTATTGAGACCGCACATGGCGTTGAAGAGCCGCCTCCGCTTGAGGAGGTAGTCTCCGAGGTTGACCCAAAGGTTATTGAGGCTCTAAAAAAGGACGATAGGCGGAGACCAATCCCCCGGGCTATCACTGCTTTAGCGGCTTTGCCTGGCACTGATGTGGTTTTGAGCGGGAGTTGGGATGGCTGGATCCGCGCATGGAAACTCAGCGATGATAAAAAGACGCTTTTGCCTCTTGGAACTGTGGGAAAGACTGAGGAAACTTTGAAGAAACAAAACGCAATCACCAATGGCGAGTCAGAGCACGGGACAGGACTTGTGAATGGAGAGTCCGATTCGTCTGGCCATGGAACCAAAGGCCCAGTGCGTGGCTTCGTTAATTCTCTGGCAGTATTTGAGAGAAGAAGAATCATCACCAATGAATTTGGAGGCAAGAAGGAAGGCGAGAGTCAAGGTCTGTGCATTGTGGCTGGAACCGGCAAGGAGATGAGGTTGGGGCGGTGGAGGAAAATGCGTGAAGGACGGAATGGCGCGATAGTGTTTGAAGTGCCATTGAAGGCGAAGCCGCAATAAGGATAGTAGCGGTGAAAGGAGACAACTTAGACACTTTCAATGATGTTCGGAGCCTCGTTGCTATCGTTGCTGTTACCACCAACAAGGCTGGGACCAAGGCTAGAAGGAGCACGAGGCTGTAGTTCACGTGACTGTGGCTTGGCACGGACCACTCTACAAATTCTTCACCGCAAGCTTCACCCTTTGATCTTTTCCTTCTTCTCTCTTCAGATCAAAAAAAGCAACAGAGCCAGCCACGACCGTCGTTTCGTCCTTTTCTACAGCGATGTGTTGCCATGAGCTCTTTGTAAGCTCGATGGCTCTGGAGAACAAATTCTCATTCCTTGTAGGAAGTTTCCTTCTCGTTGGGTCCTCTTCGGTGAGGGCGATGAGTTTGAAATGTCGATTGATAGGAAACATCTTTTTCCATGTGCCCCTGTCCGATGCAATGTGCTGCTGACAAGTGACCGAATCCAGACCGCACAATCTGCAGACTTTGAATGGTTCCAGCCCTATTTATCGCTGTTCCGTGGCAACCACCGTCACGTATCATTTGCAGGCGGGAAGAATGGGCAATTTCAAACCCCAATTCTCGAGAAATGTCATGGTTTGTGCGCTACATTCTCTCCTTCTCTGCAAATGAGATGATTTGTTGTTGAAGTGGTTGTTTTGCATTCCAGAGAAAGTGTTATGTGGATCGCGTTATCCTTCCTGCACGGTGATCGTGCTCAAGGTAAATATCATGCGCAATGGTACAAAGTTTCCTCTTGCTCTCTTTCACTCCTCGATAGCCTCGTTCTCTTTTCGAGACTCGTTACATTCGTTTGGAAACGTCTCTTTTGTTGCTCTAACAGTCACTCCTTTGAAACCTCTTCGCGCGATCGTGGTACGCCAACTCTACAATCAACAAAACCCATACACCGCATCCCAGCCTGGACTTGGAAAAATGAAACGATCGACTCGCACCAACATGCCCTTGGCGGCACTGCTCATCGCTGCAGTTAACGCGCAAACCACCACCGTTATCAATGACCCCGCGGACACTGCTGCCACCACCGTCTACTATTCCGTGTGCCCTACTGCTTTGACCACGACTACCACTTTGTCCAGCACCATCACTTTCTGCCCAGGTCCCAATTGCAACGGTGGTGACCCCGTGATCACACCTCCCCCAACGAATGCCCAAACCACTGAGATCCTCTCTTACACAACCACCCTCCCGAACGGGGACGTGGAGGAAATCCACGAGTACCTTACCATCTACCACCAAATCTGCAGCAACGGTCAATCAATTGGACAAGCCACTTACACCATCACAGAGGTATGCCCTTGTGAAGCGACCAGGAACCCAACTTCCATCCCTGAAGGCTTTACCACTACTGTTGTGTCTTGCGATGTTTGCCACAATGGTGGAGCGACCACAATGACTCTTACCACGCCATGCTCAACCGGTCCCTATGCCACCCAGACTCCTGTGATTGGACCTACTGGAGGCGCCGGTGCCCAAGTACAAGCGGCAGCAAGTGCAGGAGCCAATGCCCAAGCTGAGGCCGGTTCCGGTTCCGGTTCCGGTTCCGGCTCTGGTTCATCCAGTGGAAGCTCTGGCAGTAGTGGCTCTTCGGGAGCTGGCTCCGGGGGGGCCAATGCTAATGCCGCCGCCAACGCGAACGCAAATGCCAACGCGAATGCTGGGGCTCCCTCTGGCAACAGTGCTGCCGGTGCAAATTCCGCTTCCAGTGGGAACTCTGCCGCTGGAGCCAGTAACGGCGACTCCGGCGCAGGCGCCAATGCTGGCGCAAACGCAGCTGCCAGTGCCGCCGCCAACGCCGAAGCTGGATCTAACAGCGGAAACAAGTACACCAATGGCACCAGCAACGATAACAACATTTCCCCGCCCATCACGCCTGTCGTCCCCGGCGGAGCCTCAGGTGCGGGAGCCAACAACGCCAAGTTCACCGGCTCCGCTGATCGACTCGGCTATGCCGTCTCCGGGGTGTTTGCTGTTGTTCTTGGATCTTTGGCATTCATGTTGTGAAGCCACTGACTGGAGACAACATACCAGCAGTGGCAAGATGGGTTTGAGGAGGGGGTGGGGGACGGGTTTTCATGGGGGGGCTGCGAAAGCACGTTTTTTCTTGTTTATCCGGAACATATCGCAATACATGGACAGCATCGCGCCCTGAATACTGATCTTTCAACAGAGTGGGTGGTTCGGATGGAAGAAGAAGCAGTGAGGCTGTCATGTTCGCGGTGGTGGATGTCGTGTGTGTGGCTTTGGTGGTGGAAGGTCGTAGAAGTTGTTTTTCCTCGAATCAATCAACCATTTTTACCAGAATCCTGGGATTATCAGACGGAGTTTTTGAACGTGGTCGATCATATATTTTCCCTGCCGTGCCGTGCCTTGGCTTCTTGACGCCGTCACTGCCGCAGGAAAATACGAGTTGACCGGTATTGTTTGAGTAGTACTCGGGTCTCCAAGTCGCCCACCTCCCCATTCCTAACAACATCATTCTCACGGGTCCAGTACCAGACCATCTGGAAGATCGTCCCCGTCAATCCAAGCCTTGACGCTCTTCGCGAACAGTTCCGGAAACTGCAGATCCCAAGCATGCGCGCCCCCTCGGACCACAGCCGCCTGACTCTGGCCGCAACCTTCTCTCAACAGCTCCGCCATGGCGCGGGTCGCTGGCACATCGTCCTGCGCCTCGCCGGCGACGGTCAAGGTCCTGACACGGAGCGAGCGCAGGTCCTCCGCGACGAACTGTGCGATGCCCGTGAACGCGTCGGTCAGGAGATTCCTGCCGAAATTCCTCCTCTCCTCCTCGCGCAGGCCGGCGGGCTTTTGCAGCCCGATCCACGCGCAGATGACCCCGTCGACCCAGCCGGGGCTGTACTTGGAGAGCGGTGCCTGGAGACAGTACAGGACGCGGGGGTGCTCGGCGAACCATCTCCTGAAACCGGCGAAGGGGGCCGCGCCCGTGACGAACAGGGACTCGACGAGCTCGGGACGCCGCAGCGCGAGGTCCAGCGCGACGAACCCGCCGAGCGAGCACCCCACGACGTGTGCGCGCCGGTCGTGCGCCTCCCGCTCAATCACGCGCGCGACCTGTTCGGCCGCGCCGGCGAGGCTGAATGGCCGGATGGCCGATGACCGCGAGTGGCCCGGCAGGTCGACGGCGAGGAGGTGGTGGTCGGCCAGAAGGGGGAGGACGTGCGTGTACTCGGTGTGGTTGGAGCAGAGGCCGTGGAGGAAGATGATCGTAGGACCGGCGTCGCGGTTCAGCGAGAGCGAGAAAATCGTATCCGTCGTACTCTCGTCGGGGTCGCTAGACATGGTTTGGTGGTGTTGATGTATGTGTTTCGGACTCCTGAAAATACCGGTACTGTAGTTGTGATGGTAGTGGTCCGTTACTCGTGGGGAGTACGTGTTTATATATGTCCTCTTTCCAGAGCCGACTCTAAACAAACTAATAACTCAAATCCCGAGGTTCCAAACCAGCCTAGACTGTCCTGGTCGAAAGGGTAGAAGCAATAATAATAACAGGCAGACGCGATTCCAATGCACCCTACCTAGTTCAATACTTCGGTACCTACTTCAGCGTAGTATTCACGCGCCAAGACACTATACACCTGTCCTCATGCGTACGTACCGTGCTAGTACCCCTTGAGACTTATAGGAAGGGGTATATTGTACTAGATCCGTAGTATTAGCAATAGGAGAAAGGGCTTGAAGTCATCACTGGCACAGTAGAAGTTAAAGAAATCGCAGAGACTTGATGAACCAGAAAAAGAAAATGGAACATAAACGGGTACTTGTTACCTTTTTTTTTTCTTCTTCGTTCATTGAAGGCAATGAGTTCCATCACCTCTTTGTTGGGGTTGTTTGACTAGGCTAGTAGTAGCTATATAAAGTAAGGCGGGTAAAAATGCACGAGGACTCTTGTCCACGGCTCAAAGAGCCCAGCCTCCCTTAGGAAGGTCTGGGACGACTGCTCAAATAGCAGTGAGGTATCGCGGTAACAAAGGAGATTTGTGGAGTGTATTCTCTACTCTTGAGGAGGGAGAGAGAGGACAAAGTCGTCGTAGATGTATAGTCGATGTTGCGTAGTAAGGGTTGGGGGTATCTCGGTTTCAACAGCAGCGCCAAAAAGTACGATCAGACAACACACGCATACAGACAAAGCCCGAAAGAGGGGAACAACCAGAATTCCCCGTAGTCTGATCTGATCATGTCGCCAATCCGTTCATCAATCAGGTGGTGAAAAAACGTCAAAACGCTCCGGTCGCTAAAATGCAGAACAAGGCTGGTGAATGTTTGTGGAGATGATGATGATGATGCTGATGATGCTGATTCCTGTTTCTCTCCTGTGGCTGATGCAAGGTTTGTAGTAGTAATAGTAGTAGTAGTAGTAGCTGAGGACTGATGGTGCGAGATGAGCTAGAAAAAGGAGAATTGCCGCGAGGCAACATCTTGGTAGGAGAGTCGTTCAGTCATGAGAAGGGCGATATTCACAGGCAAGGTAGTAAGGGGGGGTAGAATAAACTGACGCGGGTTTCAGATCCGACAGGTGTCGTTCTTCCTCATGGCCTTGGCGAGCATCAGCTTCCTCATCCACTCGATGCGCTCTTTGGAGCTGTCGACGGCAAAGTGGTGGGACTTTTGGCCTTTTTCAAAGATCCTCCGGTTTACCTTATCACTGTCGGGGATGAGAGAGAAGGCGAAGCTATGCTCGCCGGCGGGAACCTTTCCTTGGCCGAGGAGACTTTTCTTGAAGGCTGCGCTGAGTTTCGATCCTGAAGCCTGTGCGTAGGCGTGCAGGGTGTATTCATCCACGTCAATATCCTCCAGGGCAGTGGCGTTGGCGTAGTGAGTGTCGTGCATCGTCAGCTTATGGCCGACCAGTGTGCAATAGTTGTCTTGCCACTCGTGTCGGAGCATGCGAGTAGTCTTCCGCTTCCGCATCCAGCCTTGATGGTGGGCGAGTTCAATTTCAGTGACTCGTGCGGCGGCACGCGGTTCC